CTTTATATTTAAGATATAAATAAAAACTCTTTTTTTCTTTAAAATATTATTAATAAGGTAATTTAATAAAAAGATAATTACCTAAAAAAAACCTTTTTAATTATTTAAAAGTAAAAATACTTATAAATTTTCTTTAATATAGAAAATAATAATATGCTAATAATATTCCTAATAAAAATAAAGCTTTAGCGACTTTATTATAAGTTTAAATACCCTTTAGTTAATTATTTTTCATGCCTTTTTATTAATACTAATTATAATAATATTAATTCTTTTATTTTAAAAGTAATTTTTAAGTTTTATTATTATTATTAACTTTATTTTGCGGTATTATAATGTTTTAAATTTAACCTTTAAAATAACGTTAACTTTAATTATAAGATTATTATAAATATTATATATTTACTTACTTTACTTATTTTATAAGTTATTAATTTAACAACCTTTTTTTAAGCTAAACGTTTTTTAATTTCTCTTTTTATAAAGGATATATAAAAGGTTATTTAGCAATGCTAAATAAATACTTATTTAGGACTTCTTAACTATATTATTTATAATACTAAAATTAACTTTGCCTTAGTAAAATTTTAAAGCATTATATAAATTATAAACATTACTTATAAATAAGTGCTAATAAAGGTATATTAATTTATTAGCAAGGTTAAAAGATATTATGCTTTGCTTTAATAAGCTTTTAATATTCTTTATGCTAAACTTTTAAGAACTTATATTAAGGAAGTTATTTTATAAATAGTTATTAAGATAATAAATAATATAATTAGCCTTAACGGCATTATTTTAATACTTTTCATTTTTAGCATATATTTAAAACTTATAAAAGACTTTATATTAACTCCCTTAATGCTTAAAAGAGCAATAGCTATTTAAAAAGCTATAAGGGAGCTATGCAAGGTTTATGCTAAATAATAAGTTAATATAGCTTTAAATATTTATAATAGCCTAAATATTATAAAAGTATTAAGTTTTTTATTATAAAGTAATATATAAGTATAGCAAGAAAAGCATAATTAATAAGGATTATATAAGTTGCTTAGCATTAATAAATATAACCTTATATTAAACCTTTTAAATAGCTTAATAATCTTTTAATTAATATTAATTTAGCTATATTATTAAGATAAAAATGGTAAAGATAATATTTAGTTAGTTTTTAACCTAAATAATGCTCTTAATAAGCCCATTTAATTTAAACTAAATTTAATTCTAATAATATTAAAACCATTATAACCTTAATAATATAAACAACCTAAGGAATTAAAAAATAAGCCAAAAGAAATATATTTTACTTAGCAAAAGGTTAAGAATTATAATTTCTCTTTAAAGCTTTAATATAATAATATAATTAATACCTTAAATAACCCGTTTAAAGAGTTTAATTATAAGGAAATTATAAAATTAATTAATAATAACGTTTTTTATTTTAAATGCTTTAATTTTAAGATATATAAAGGTATTTAGCTTTTTAAGTTATGTATTATTTATAAAATTAAGGGTAAGATTAAGAAGCTATATAAGAAATCATGGCTTATTATTGCTAAATATAATAATAAAAATAAGCATAATATCCTTATATAATTTTTAATTATTTAAAGAGCTAGCTAAAGGCTTTTAATTACTTTAGCCTTATTCTTTTTAATATAAAGCTTTTAGTTAAAGCTTTAAGATATTACTTAAGTATACCCTTAGTTAAAGTTTAAGCTTAAGCAACTTATTTTATATTACTTACCCCTTAAGATTTAAAATAAATACCCTTTTAAGATTATTATATAAGTTATTAAATCGCTTTATAGCATTATTAAATTTAATATATATTAATAAGCAATTTATTATAAGTTTTATTATAATAATTTAAGTATAATTATTTTAATATATAACCTATGCCTTTTAATTACGAATTAAGGAAAGGATATTTTTGCTATTATTATTATGTAAATTAATAATACCTTATTCCTTAATACTTTAATATTTTTAAAGCTAAAAGAATAAAAGATTAAAAAGGTAAATATTTAATATAAGTTAAAAAAAATACTTACTCTTAATAAGTTACTTATCTTTAATGGCATAACTATAAGTATCTTTAATAAAGGTACTTTATATTTTTATTAAAAGGGCTAAGGTAAAAAGATTATACTTATTAATAGCAAGGCTAATAATTATGCTTAATAATATATAAAGCAATATATATAAGAAGCATACCTTGCTTTTATTTATTAACTTAAGGTAGCGTTTAATTTATTAGTAATAGCTTAAATTTAAGAGCCTTTTTATAGAAATTATAATAAGCTAAATCGCTAGTTATAATGGCAAGCTAATAATTTAAAATATAAACTTTAATATATATCCTTAAATTTATCTTAAGCTAAATTAATAATCTTTATTAATAACTTATTTATTAATAATAAGAACTTTAGCTTATAAATTAGCTTTATTATTATACTTATAAATAAAATATAAACTTTATAGGCTTTTAAGTAGAATATTAAAGGTAATATTATTTATTAATCCTTAATAAAGTACTAAAAAGTAATTTAAAGCATTTTGGCTTTAAAGATTTATAGCATGGTTAATAGCTTTAATATAATTATAATGCTAACGGCTACTTTACGCTAAATCACTATATATTTAAATATTGCAATAATTCTTCTTATAATATATATTAACTTATACTCCTTATATAAGTACTTAGTTAAGCTTAGCATAATAAAAAAAAAGCGCCTTATAATTAATATTATAGCTTTTCAATAGTTATATAAGAAATATAAAATCTTTAAGATTTATTAAATTATTAGAAATTACAACTTAGCTAACGCCTTTATAAAGAGTACTCTTAATAGCACTCTTTAGCGCTTTGTAAATATAAATAATATTATAATTATAATATAGGGTTATATAGATTATGGTTAAGAAGATAAGGCAATTATTTAAATATAATAAAAAGTTAGGAAAATTATAATGCATTAAGGCTTAAACCTAAATCACTAAAGCATGGTTTAATAACTTATTAGCAAACCATGCCAATATAACCCTAAATGTTATTATTATATTATATGTTATAAGGTTGTTGTGTTAATATTAATGCAATTAACTTAAGTATGCATATTATATAATTGCAAAGATAAAAAGATTGCTAAAGGTTTTTAATAAGGAATAATAAGATAAGGAATAATAAGATGATTTCTTTAATTAAAGGCAATGCATAGCAAAAGTATAAAAGTTTAGTTTATATTTATTAATTACTTGCGAATTACCTTATAGTGTAATGCAGTTGGCTAATTTTAAATTACATCCCTCCTAAGGGCAAACTTTATATTTAAGATTTTTATAATGGTGCTTATATATTAAGGGTTTAGGTAATAAGGATTATTATTATCTTATAAGCACTTAAGTTGCTAGCTTATATTTAATAAGCATTCTTAGTTAAATTTTATAGTTTAATACTTGCATATTAAAATTAAAAGTATTATTATTTATTAACTTAATTAATATTCTTTATTTTATACCTTACTTTTTCTTTATTTAAATACCTTATTCGCTAATCCTTATAACTTATTAATCTTTATTTTATTAATTTATCCTTTAATTATACTTCTTAATTTCTTTATTTAATAAGCGGCATTAAGCATGGCGAAGCTTAAGTTAAGTTAAATCAAGAAATTTTAATTATTTAAAGATTAAATAATTATATTAATAGTTTAAGGGTTTAGTTTAATCCTTGTTTAATTTAAGCGCTATAAGCAATAAAAGCATAAGTTTATAAAATGCATTATAAATAAAATATTTATATAATAATTGCAACCTTTTAAGCTTTTTAACTTTATATAATTAAAATATTTTAATATATATATATACTTAATTAACCTCTTCTTATTAATTGCATACTTTAATAAATTAACTAACTTTTAACCTCTTAATAACAACTTAGGCATTTTTATATGCTTGCCTTTTATAATAATATAACATAGCAAAATAACATTATACTTGCAATTTAACTTATATATGCAATTAATTAATTGCTTTTTAACCTTAAATTTAATTTAACTTAATACCTTTCTTTCTTTTATACTTTTTAAAAGAGGTATGCACTTATAAAATAAAGACTGCTAATATAGGAATAATGGGTATTATTTATATGGAGGATTATTTAGAATTAAGCAGCTTTAACCCGTTAGGATGCCTGGCAGGTAGTAGCCTTAGCGCTGCATACAAAATAGCTAGCATAGTTAAGCCTTTTACCTTCCTTCCTTCTATAGTTAACAACGATTAACCACTACATCAACTAAACATCGTATTGCAATACGTGACCCAGCCAATAATATTAGTGGTTCGGCGAATATTTTGACGTCTTTTGAGGTACACGTACTCAGCGTACATGATTGCGAAGTGTTGTCTTGTGGCAGGTTCGAATCCCCATCTGATCCATGTCACTGCTTTGGAAAAGAAATCATAAAAAGCCGAGTTCTATTTCCAACGTTTCAGAGGGTCTGCTAACTTTCTACACAACATTGTGACTTCGCACTCATTGACTCCCAGTTCTATTCTGTGAACATTCAAGAGTGCAAGAACTGTTTGGATGCAGGCTGATACAACAGCTCGACCACAGAATGTTGACATAAGGGTCTGCATTTCTAGCCAATATCAGTCTCGCACCATCGCGTATTGACGATAAACGCCGTATCCACGCAGCTTGCCCTTGTCCCATGCACCTAGGTCTGTATCCCGGTAATCGACGTCTTTGAATCCGAAGCGTAGATACAGGCTGTGTGAGCCAGGGAATGAGATAAGCCAAGTTTGAAGAGATGTCTGGTCGGCAATGTCCAGACAGGTCCTCAATAGCTGACTACCTATGCCCTTGCCTTGACGACGAGGCTCGACCGCAAAGGCAGACACGTCTGCAAAGGGGTCAGAATACCCATCTAAAAGTCAGTAAGGTAAGCACTTACAATAATGTTCTTTGCCTCCCAAAAGGCCTTTCATCTCTTCTACTTCCGCCCCGCTCTCAGGACGAACTCGTGGTTCAGATATGGTGGTAGCTGCTGCATGATCTTGGCAGTAGGCGTGATTTTCAATGCTGGTTCCTGTGATTCGATTCCAGCCTCCTTGTCCTGCTCAAGCGTCAAGCAGACAAATCCCAGAATCGTGCTTGTGGCTGGGTCAACGGCCTTGAAAACCTGCGTACCCGAATTTTCAAAGCGCTCAGCAAGTCGCGCCTTGAAGAACTCGAGCATGCTCGCGTCGTCGGGCCAGTCCTTGAAGGCAAACTGCGCTGTTGTCTCACGGCAGTATGCCAGCCTGTTGATTTCTGCTAGGGCCGGCAGGTCGTCCGGGTGCGCCGTGGTGATTGTGACGGCCATGATAGCTTACAGGATCTGTACAGTTCTGGCTGTTGAGGTGGGAATTTCACCAATGAGGAAGAAATCTGCATTTCCGGTGATGCAAGCAAGGATAAGCATCCTGAGGACGTGACCAACATTAATTCGGAGCTAAGTGCTGTAAATGGACATGCTTCTCTTCACCAACGTGCAGTGCCAGGATACACACCCTGCGCCGTAAAGCGACATTGCTAGTTACCCACTAGTGCCAAGTTGTGTGAGCACTTACCTAGCTCACAAACCCAAGTAGGCTCAATGCCTTCGACCAAGACCCCAGGATGACTTGGCGTTGGGATGGTGGTCAGACGGGCGTCATGGGTTTGTGACTTGAGATACTCCCATCTTTTCACGAGCTTTGGCCTGAAAATTCAAGATTGAGTCTGAGTCTGTTACGCATGCCCATGACCAGATGTCACAAGAAAGCTCACACTGTCCTAATTTTCAAAACAGCCAAGAAGCTCGCCATAATACCTTAGTAGCTTTCAGCATGTCGAGTAAAAAGTCCCATGAGATTGTCATTGTGATAACAACTTTGGCGGCGTGGAAGCTGTGCATTACCTTGTCACACCATTCCAACCCTCCAGCACCTCGACAAGAACAGAATCCCACAATTCACTTTCGTCACCTCAAATACTCGATTATAGTTCAAAGTGGCAAGCACTGGCTCAATTATCCAACCAAACCGCCTTGTCAATACAACGCATGACTGGAAAAGGCCCTTGGCTCGCTGAAAGTTTAGAAACTTTGCAAAATAAAGCATAGATGCCTTCATCTGCAGCCAGAGGTGACCGAGGAAACAGCCTCACAGTTGTAGTCTACATCACTTGGGATATGCACGGATCAAAAGAAATCTGCGGGACGACATTGTGCCGAGGTCGTCGAATTATGCTCCTGGGTGTGGAAGCTGCTGTGATGTGGTCACTCAAAGCAACAGTTTACCCCAACAGCCCATCGTCTTTGAAACCATCGTGAGTTGCGGCCTCGTGAAGATGATCAATTTCATGTCCTCCTCAGTCTTTACGTGGAGACCTTCTACTGCCGTTTCTGCGCACCGACAATTGATAACAGGTTCAACACGTAATCAACGTGGTTCGGAGAACCGGGCCAACAAATCCTCAAGAGTTGTGGCCATCTGGCTAGAACAGGTACCATGTCAGATCTTTTCAGGCCCCTTGTATGCACAGTATGAAGCAAGGTTTGAATAAGATGTTGTGGGCGACCGCACGAGTCCTTCACTTGCAGAACGGCCCATTCGCCGGGGTGCACGGGGGAAAGAGATGGGTGGTTGAATGAATGATTGAGTCTCGCCGCTTTTGCGATGAATGGCTTGTCGGTGCTAAACAAAGGACACGGACGCTTGTGGCTGAGCGGCTGGCTCGATCATTGTTCCGCAACCTCATCAACAATGCTATTGTCACATAGAAGATAAATTTAGCTTAACTGGTAGACCCGAGTTTTACCACCGACAGGTCAATCGACTTCATAATCATATGCCACTGAGAAGTCGCTCTTGTGTTAAACTTGTCTTGAAGTGTTTCCCACTAAACTCAAGACGAGATACCCGCCATACATCCACAATGTCCACGCAACCAACGCCGACTTCCCAGACGGAGAGAGAGGAACTAGACGGTCCTCTTGGAATGAGGGTGAATGAGATGAGCCAGGAATATGACCTCGAATTTCCTATTCCGCTATTCGAGTGCCCATCCTACAGCCCCGAAACGGGATGGCTGATAGTTGACCTAGTAGCGTGCGCTGCATCTCCGCTGGGTCACTCTGTCACTCGAACATTCCAAGCCCGGGAGCTCATCAACAATGATATTTCCGTGGGATTGCCTGAGTTGCGAACGCAGTCATTCTTCACCGAAGTGCAGAAGCTCTTGATATTTACTGAAAACATGGGTCTTTACGAATCGGTCTGGAATGATGAGGTTCTGAACAAGCGCGCGGTCGACGTTCAGAATGCCGAGATCTTGGTTTTGATGGATGATGCAACCATTTGGGATGGCAAGCAGATCCTCGAAGCTGGAAAAGTCATTGAACTCTTCGAAAGGGCCACCGATATGGGACTCGAAAAGCTGACCTTCTACGTCGAATGGTACAATTCCTCGCTCTCACAAGACATCTCACTGGCGAGAGAACAGTTTCGTCAGGAGGCTCGCAGGACCGCGTCTAGAAAAAGATTGAGGACAAAAAGCCTTGTCCATATGTCAACATCAGCCGCTTCAGAATTACTGCGGCGGGGCGAACACGCGATTTCCAACCTCTTCGGACGATCGAACCTTATGATTTCGTCAAAGGGACCGCTAGAGGGTGACCGTCCGAGACCGTTAGAAAAACAGACAACACAATCGTCATCTTGAGGCTGATCAACGTCAAGCTTAACAATGTCCCACCAGTAGGGAGATGTGGTCATGGGGAAGGATCGCACTTCCACATCGTTGTGCGTATCAATGCAGGCAGAAATAAGCCAACACTTGGATCCCAAGGAACAAGGAGGAGGACGACTGCATGTGTACCAGAACGGTGTTTTGGGTTACTGCGGCGCAGCGCGTGCGAATCACAGTTCTCAGGCAGTAAACTGCACAGTCGTGGCGCAGATTGTGACTCAACCATGGATTTCATAATTTTACCCTCATTCGGCAGATTGAAAAAAGCGTAATAAATGTCTATCTAGCAATCTCTTTAAACACCTGGTAGCAATATTGAAGGAACTTTCGCAGAAGCATAAAATGAGTGCTGGGATGGACGACATACGCCAGCCCTGGAGGCGCTCGTAAGTACAACCAAGCCAGGCATGACCGTGACATAGGAGTAACTTTAGTCCATAGGCGCGCCCACCTTCGTGGCCACGAGTTCTGTCCTGGTCTCCATGAATTAAATTTTCAAGAGTGTTCTGGCAAGAGCAAGCTTATCGGTCCTCGGAAAGTCTGGCAATTATGATAGACTTTACTCGCTCACGCATCGAGGATAGGCTGTAGACAGGAGATTGCCACACTGCCTTCCTGATCCGTAAATTTGCCCTCCAATGATGGATGTACTTCCTCGTCCAGCTTCTCCTGCATACACAGTAGACCGTTGAAGGAAAGCGTTCGCCTCCACCATGGCAGATGCGTTGCTATTAGGCGGGAAGTGGCGGGCAGGTGTTGCAGCTCTAGCTCTCCATCCGAACACAAGGACTTGGGGAGATGCTCGGGATGGCGCCAGTCTAGCTTGAGCTAGAGACATCCCTTGAGACCAATCTAGATTTGAGAAGGCGGTGGAAGCTAAAGATGCCTCGGTCGTACTTCCAGAAGCTCTCCTCTCCGGACGCGAGTTCTATCAGAGTGCAGCGGATGTCCCGGGACCGGCGAAAGTTACCAAGTTTGAGTGCTCGTGATGTTCCTCCCCGCTGGGATACAGGCGGACGGCCGGGAAGGAAGGCGCCAGGGGAAGGAACCACCAGACCTCCCCACGGCGCGGGGAACCCTGACGTCCCACGCAACAAGGTTGCACCGCTTGTTGATGTCGAGCCTATCAAGGACATGGAGCGGCGTGCAGAATTCGCGGTATTTCCTCCTTTGAGACTGGTCCCTTTGCGGGGTAGTCTACTCCAGTGGGATTCACAAGCGATGGATGGCCCGTGGATGGTTCCTCTATTGTGTTTTAGTGACGCGCCGGTCGTTCATTCCTCCTTGTCCAGGCCTTGCAGACCGAGGCTCAGCTCTGCCTCAGCTCTGCCTCAGCTCTGCATGTCTGTCACCTATGCATTTCCATTGGAAGTCACGACCAAAGGATCCATTCTAGTCCTGTGCATGTGTACCCCCATTACTATCGCGTTCGCAGCGATCGCGAGTCGGTCGGGTATTAATTCGGGTCACTGGCTATCCAAGGGGACTAGACGCAGACAAGGGTTACCCAGACAAGCTTTCGTGGCCGGACGGGCCGCGGCTTTCTCCCTAGTGCTGCAACTCAGACTGGCCTGTGGACTCGTAGAGCTTGAGAAATGCTCTCAGAGCCATTTGGTATAGATAAACGCGGACGTCGCTCCAAGCTTTCCAGAGCCATCCGGGTTCCACTCCATCTTTGCTACCCGTCCTTGGCTTTCCTCGAACCCCGGCTGTTCAACATGGCTCCTTCCAGCGAGAAGAGCGTCGACGAGGTCGATAGCAAGCGCGTTCAAGAAAATGTCGAATTTGCCAGGCAAACGTCTACCGATGAGGAATCCCATCAGGAGCTCCCCGTAAGCCAGACCTGAAGACATCGCGATAATTTCTTTTAAAAATCACTTTGGCTGACGCCCCTGAGCACCAAGATGACCAAGAGGAAGCTCATGGCCCTCGTCGCGCAAGCCTTCCTCTGGACTGGCTCACAGATCCCCGTTTACCTGCTCGGTGCTGTTCCGCCTTACATTTACCGAGACATTGGCGGCCATGACCGGTGGATCTGGCTTGTTCTCGCCAACCTGCTCTCGCTAGCTGCCGTGTGCCCCTTCGTCGGGTCTCTCTCAGATCTCTTTGGCCGCCGGTATGTCGCAATCTCAGGAGCCGCGTTCATCGTGCTTGGGATGATCATCGTATCCACGGCCCAGACGATGAATATCGTCATCGCGGGTATGGTCTTTGCCGGGGTTGGCGCTGGCATCAACGAGCTCACTGCCCTGGCTGCCACCTCCGAGCTGGCGCCCACGGCCAAGCGCGGCAAATACGTCGGCATCCTGGTCTTCACCATCGTGCCGTTCTGCCCTTCGGTCTTGTATGGCCAGCTTATCGCCTACTACTCGTCGTGGAGGTATATCGGGCTGCTCTGTGCCGTGTGGGCATTTATCGGCTTGGTCCTGACTGTTGTCTTCTACTTCCCACCTCCCCCTGCCAACTTGAACACCATCACTCGCCGAGAAATCTTGAAGCGGACCGATCTCGTTGGAGGCTTTTTGAGCATATCTGGAATGATCCTATTCAGTAAGTGCTGCCTCAAATCACAATTCACCATTGCAGGGCTTTGAGTCTCTAACCTGAACTCTCTTCAGTGGCTGGGCTGCAATGGGGCGGTTATATCTACCCTTGGACGTCCGTCCACGTACTCGTCCCTCTTCTGCTTGGCGCGGTTCTACTCATCGCCTTTGTTGTCTGGGAGGGCTGGTTCGCCAAATATCCTATGTTCCCAAGACGGATCAACCAGGCCCCAAGGATCCTCACGCTCACGTTAATCATCACCTTTATCTCGGGCGCGAACTTCTTCTCGATCCTCATGTTCTGGCCAACCCAGTCATTCAACGTCTACGGCCACGACCCAGTTGATGTCGGTATCCGCGGTATTCCCGTTGGCTTCGCTATCATGACCGGCGCCGTCGTTGTCCTGGTGCTGCTATCGGTTTTCAGGGGTGCCAACAGGATGCTGATGGTTATCTCATCGGTGCTGATGACAGCCGGATGTGGCGCTATGGCTGTGGGCCGTGTCGACAACATGTACCAGCTGGTAAGCAGCTTCCGGATACAATTTCTTTCCTTTACCCTCTCTGGAAAATCAATTTCCTATCTGTAGCCTGTACCTTAAAGGTATTCTTAAAGGTATTCTTAGGCTGCAGGTTTCGAAACAAGCCGTGGCCATACTGTGGCCTGGTCCTCCCTAGATCCAGATGACACTTCTTCCTTAGTTTTTTGATAGCTGACTCCTTTTGCTGCAGTGGGGGATCCTCGTCTTGGCAGGCCTCGGTATCGGAGGGATCGTGGTGCCAGCCTCCATCATCACCATGATCATCTGTCCAGACGACCTCATCGCTACCGTCGCAGCATTAACACTCAGTATTCGTGTCATCGGGGGCAGCATCGGTTACTGCATATACTACAACATCTTCATCAACAAGTTCACCCCCGCAGCTATCCACTACATCGGCGGGACCATGTATCTGGGAGGGATCACAGACAAGCAAACCATTGGGGAAGTTATCGTTCTGACCGGAGCGGCCTTGTAAGCACCATCCTTCTCCTTTTATGATTCCCCTATTGTTGTGCTTCAGAATGTTTCAGAATGTATCACCTTGGGACCCGTGGCAGGTAATTAACACATGGCAGGCTCGAAGAAATCAAGATGATCCCGGGCATTGCCGGCAACGATGTCTTGTACAACGCCATCGTCAAGGCTGGCCAAATAGCCTATGCCGAGTCATATGCTTACGTTTACTACGCGAGCATCGCGTTTGGGGCCATCTCGATCCTCGCCGCAGCTTTCTTGGGCGATATCAGTGCGTACATGACAGATAAGGTTGCTGTTGTCATGTAAGCTACTGTTGGGAACCACCAGAACGGAATCTCAGCATTGAGGAACATGTGTTCGATCCATAGGGTTACATATGGCAACGAAGGAAGAGATTAAAGACAGTAGTCAGCTCTGAACCCGTATACCATCTTGTTTAAAAGTATTATGAGCCAAACCTGCCAGAAAGTGTAACGACGTAGTCCAAACGAAGTCCATCAATCCATCGCCGCTCAGCAGCTTTCGTCGGGTCTCGTGCCCCAGTATCCCGCCGGCGGGTGAGGCAGTTTCAACCTCGGGTCGTTCAGATCTAGTCTATACATGATATTGTTGTAGTTGTAGTAAGGCGTGGGAAACGTGTTCCCGGAGAAGGTATTCGTAAGTGTTCCAGAGAAGTAGATATATCTTCCGCCATGACGCATCAACTCATAGTGTTGAACAGGGTTGTACAAGTCGTTGCTGTTGCTGTTGAACCCGTCACGGTCCATGTGGTGCGTGGCAACCTTGCGACAGGCCGTCCAGGGGCCCTCTGGCGCCTGGGCCGTGGAGAACCATATTTCTCCAGCAGTAGTATCGCCTCCTGCCTGCTGAAAGACATTAACCCAAAGCTTGAGGTAAGGGTTCCACGCGATTCCAGCTGTGTGCGCAGTAATAGCTTGTCCTGTGTCCACGTCCTTGAGCCTGTAAGGCGACTCCTCCTGGCTTATCACGCCAGACTGCACCAGGGCATCTGCGTTCTCGTAGTTGACCGGCGTCCCGCCTTTGACCCAGCTCCAGATCAAGGTACCGTTAGGTCCCCTGTTTGCTCGCTGCCCGTCTGCAGTCAGACAGGTGAAGGCCTCGTACTCTGACTGCTGGGAGGCGCTCTCGAAGTCCGCTTTGACGCGTATGTTCTTGCCGTAAAATGCGTAACGAGTGCCGTTCTCATTCACGAAGATTGTGTGGCCTCCTGGAGCGAGCACGTCCATGCCGTTGTTGGCGCCATCGAACTTGACCAGTCTCTCCAGCATCTGCTTTTTGTTGTTCCATATGACCATGCCTCGCTCCACACAGGTCAGCCCCTGCCCGGAGGCGCAGTAAGTGCCGAGAAGGCGCTCGTGACCCGTGACGTCTCGTACTGCCGTCAGACCATCGATCCACAGAGGGAAGCTTCCCGGGGTCTGCAGAGGTATGTCCACCATGCCCCTTGCAAACTCGTTTGGCTTGTTGTCCTTGGTGAAATAGTCGAAGTTGAGGCCTCTGTCGGCGTCCAGCTCATGCGGTAAGTCAGTCCACGCGCCCGTCATTGCGAAGTTGCCAAGCTGAAATGCCATCTGGTCTGTGTCCTGCCACATCCAGAGGAGTTTGTCCTTGAACTTCGCACACTGGATGGTGTCACTCCCGGCGACCTTTGCGTTTAGGACCGGATGCTCAACCGGCACCGGCTTTCCTAACAGAACACTGTCCCGGTAGATACCATACCCTGTGAGCCGATAGAGCCGCTCGGCGACTTGTGTCCTGCTGAGCTTGATTTCTATGGATTCCGCGGCCTTGGGATGAATCTGCATTCCGGGTATTCCAAGGAAACCGGTCGGTGACTCGAAGCCGTAGCTGCTGACGGTGACCCAGATTGGATCTCCAGTCATCAAGCCGGGTTCGTGGAATGCAACATAGCCCGCGCTGTCAGTCATATAAACAGCCTTGTACGTTGTTCGGAGATAAGCCAGGGGTATCCCCCGATTAGTGACAGCATCGACCACTCGAATGGCATAATATGGGTGTACCATCGTGCCGTGTGTTGACGCTGAGGTCGATGGTGTTTGTTGCCGCTTGTCGAGGGCTTGGGCGGCGGCTGACGACACATTTGAGGCCAGCCGGTCGAAGCGGTTGAGTAGCGACCGAGACATATTCGATGCCAACCCAGAGAATATGAACAGGAACAATGACTTGTTTGGTGATAGTTGGCGTCGATGTTAACAGACCAACGTTGCATACTGTTACTAGCACATGTCAATCATCGGGGATCGGGAAGCCGCGGGCTTGTTCTAGGCCTGGGTATGCGGGGGTAATGTTCAAGGGCTGGCCGCGCGAGGTGGTATCTAAAAGTGTAGATCAAGCACACCCTAACCCAAATACTTGTTTTCGTCCGCAGTCACACCGTACCACAGTATCTCTGACCAGCTCATCCTTTCATTGGGCCAGATAAGATTGCCACTGACTTGTCCTGTCCGGAGTTGAGATTTCGCACGTATTCACTCTCTTTCTGGAGAATTTGAGGGTAGGAGGGTGAGTAAGAACGGGTGAGAATTGAGCTTCGAGAACAAACAACCGCCACAGCTATCAACGAATATAACCAGACACACGTATGTCATGTCGACTGCAGCAGCGCCGCTTCTAGAAGGAACATAATATTGTCTCGCATGTGGTGGAGCAACGTTGATCCAACTGTCCGGGAAATGTCTATGTACAAGCAGGTCCGCCCTCATCACATCTGACCCCAACGACCCCTACCACTTCCGCCCGTTCATACCTCCACCGTAGACACCTCCATAATATGGCCTACATCCGGAACTTTGGTACCGCCTCTTCTCCACTACCACATGTTGGACTGGGCGAGCCGGAGGCGCGCAATATGCACAGTTCCGGTGGCAATGGTGTCTGTCGGAGTGCAAATGGTGCCTGAAACCGAAACACATCGGGTTGATCTGGACCTTGTCCGCGTGGTCGTGCTTACTCGAATCGCGTCTGAACTTCAGGCCTGTCAGTTCCATCAGCTTCCCAAGGCCCTTTTCCAGCAGCGTGCCAGTCAGACTCGCACCAGGGAAAGTGAACCTGCCTTGGTTGTGACTCTAAGGAGTCAAGAAAAAGATTGCCGCGATGCAGATTTGGCAAGTAATGTTGTGATTTTCTCTTTGCCGAGAATCAGATACTTGGCTGTAGATAGTTGGCAGTGTGGATGAATCGAAGACGGTATATGAGATTGGCGTCTCCGGCTGCATTATATACTGTAGACTTAATGCTACCGGGCTCGATTTATCGGGCATCAATATCAAGGCTTAGAGGGAAACATTCGTCATGGTCCTGAACCACTAGTATTCTGCTCGGTATTGCTAGGGCTCGGCTTGGATCATCATGGCCTGCTAAGCCTTGCCAGTCCAGATGAGCCATGCTGCCAAGCAGCCTATGATTCTGAAGCGCCGCGGCGTTCACCACGACGAGCTAGCATTAACCTTGGCCGTGGTGAAGCTTCAGGTCGCCCCAACAAAACTACAGTACTTCGAACCCAGTCTCGCCAAATAAAACAAGGGCTTGGTTTTCCAGTCCACGTCATTCCCGGGAACGCTTCCGTGCTCGTATGACTTGTCCCCCGCGATTCACATTGCTTTCGTCCTGTCAAAGGCTGCAATCAGCATCGAGGCCTCACATGGTCATCATTCGCGCTACCACTGAGCTTCCGAAAATCTTAAGGTTTAGACAGGCCCAAACCCTCAATTGTGAGTCATCCTCTCATCTGAGGAGTGTTGGGCAGAATTCAAACAGTTTGTTGGGCTACTAATCGAACCGCGGTAAATCTGCCATGTCCATGCCCAGTTATTCAGAAATTTTCCATCTGTAGCTTCGTGATTAGCACTAGAAGTGAACGCGCGAGCGGCCAAATGCTTAAGCAACGGCCCACTGATGAAGCTGGACGGCTGAGCTGTATTATACTCACCAAGACAAGACTCTGAAACTCTTAGGACGTAAATATCTACGGCCAAGTAGACAACGACAGATATGGGAGCTTCAATACACACCACGATGCGTGGTGGCCACACTGACTAATGTTCGGGCGAGAACACCGATCTACTAAACGTATTTCACTGCTGCAGGTTCTCTGCCCGACGTTTCGCACACTCGATCTTTCAACTGCAGCCCGTCCCTGGCTGATCAATGACGGACAAATTTGCCTCTAGTACTAGGCCAGGACAGTCAGGCATGACTCCATGTTTCTAGGTGTATTTTCTTGGGTCGGGTCAAACCTATTTGATACAATTATTATGTGTAATGTAAGTGCGAAGACTCTACAGTGAAGTTGTGCCCAGTGGACAGCATAGTTATGGACGAGGTAGGTACTCATGGACATTGAGCGTTGCTTCTGGCACCGCATTCGATTGGCGGAGAAAAGTCAGGAACGAATGTGCCACCTTTATTTATCAAGGTGGTTGGGCGGGACATTCAGCGTCTATCTGGTGAAGACAGAAGGCAGTGATTACGACATTACCAAAAACTTGCCAACGCAGGTCATCTCCACGTCACGCGTGAGACGGTCCAATGTTGAGCCATCGCTTGTGTGGCCACTATCCCCCTCTCGGGCGCTTGCGCGTGCGATGGATTCTAGCACGCCGTCATCATTTTCGGGAAATCCCTGACATGAATGGTAAGCTGCATTTCCTTGAGCGATTGGAGGGCACACGCAATTCGAGAGGCGAGTATCGCGTGCCCATATTCAATAGTTCTCCGGCAATACACATCGTCCTAGAAATGTCTCGACAAACTGTTTGAGGGCTTCAAATGTCTATAAACAGTCATAGGGTCTGGAGCCATCGAATCAGATTATTTCCACTTCCGCTTCCACCACCGTCGATTGATCTACTGAAAAGATGGCGGCCAACCAGGATTCTCGCAAATTGCTTCCGGTTGCAAATCCAACATCCTCATACTGGCGCAGCGAGCTTCATCATCTTGACTCGTATCGGTCGACGCCCGACCTCCCTAAGGAAAGGCAGATTGTTATCATTGGAGCTGGCATTGCCGGTGTTTCTGTTGCGTATGGCACAAATTCTTAGTGACGGTGAAAATGTCCTTTCGTCTGACCTGACCGACCTCGCGTCCTAGCTACCACCTTTCTACCGCGCCAAATCCACCGTCTATTCTCGTACTCGAAGCCCGTCAGACCTGCTCAGGGGCTACAGGCCGCAATGGAGGCCATATCAAATCCAAGACCACAACTCTGATGAAACATACGGACAAGTTCGGTGCGGCAGCTGCGGATGAGTTCGCTCAATTTGTGTGGGCTCAAAGGCCAGCACTCAAAGAGGTGATTGAGAAAGAGGAAATCGACTGCGAGTTTGAACTTCGCCGAAGCTACGATGTGTTCAAGTCGGAGAACGAAGCGGCAAAACTGGAGGCGAAGTGGAAGGAATACCTTTCCAAGGGATGCGAGTGGACTAGCAACGTGCATTGGACAGGGAGCGAGTTTGCAGAGAGACTTACGAGCATCAAGGGCGCCAGGGGGGCTTTCAGTGTACCTGCTTGTTCCCTTTGGCCGTATAAGTTCGTCACTGCCTTGCTCGAGAGGGCGATGGGGAAGAACCCTGGTCTAAATCTACAGACCGAAACACCAGTCCTGAGTGTGGAGACCCAAGAGGGTGGATCGACCGTCATCCAAACTCCTAGAGGGTCCGTCAGAGCCGAGAAAGTCGTCTTTGCTACTAATGCGTACTCAGCGGCCTTGCTTCCAGAATATCGTGCTGTCATCACGCCTTACAAGGGTACGGCGACGCACCTGGCCGCGGAGGATGGCTGGGAGCCGGTATTTCCACATCTGAGCAACACCTACAACATAGAATTTGGCCTCGTACCTGGGTCTGAGACGGTAGACTATCTTAACCCTAGGCCAGACGGTGGGATCGTGGTGGGCGGCGGGAACTGGATTTTCCGGGAGCAGCGAGAGCTGTGGTACGACACAGTCGACGACTCAACTCTGATTGAGCCCATTGTCAAGTCAAATTATTTCGGAGGTTACATGCAGAGAAACTTTATGGGCTGGAAGGACAGTGGCACAGGCGTGGAGAGCATTTGGACCGGGAGTAAGTTTGTTTACCATTTTTTTTAAAGACTGATACTGACAGGGCTCGTCTGCAGTTCAAGGAGCTACTCCGGACGGCCTGCCTCATATCGGAAAGATCCCGGGACAGCAGTCTCAGTGGATTCTGGCGGGTTTCAATGGGGGTGGAATGGCTTTGTCGTTTCTTTCTGCGAAGGCAGTTGCCAAGATGACACTGGACAACGTGCCTTTCGACCAGTCTGGGGTGAAAGTACCCAGATTGTTTGAGACCACAGAAGAACGACTGCGAAAAGAAAGCTCCATCTAGTCTAGAGTTTCGAGAAACAATGAAATGGTTCGCGATATGATATTGCCGGGCTGCTTCGGAGTGAGATCAGCATGTGGCATTGTAAACCAAGTTGATATGACTTGCCGGTAGGTAGACTGTTGGCACTGTTTGTGAAGCTATGCCCCCAAGATCCCATACCAGGTCCTCTTCTATATGAATGCAGACCTGTCAGTGCCGACTGATATAGTCGAAGGAGTGGGATGAGAAGACAGTTTTCAGATACGACTCAAGAACTATGTATTACACTAATGTTGCAACCTGCGATGCGACTTAAACCCTTTGATTTTGACCGTTCCAATTAGCAATTTTAGTTATACGACCAGCCAATTTCCTCTGCTCACACTCCTTCTCGCGACCCCTGTGAACACTACTTCGCAACCACCACCACAATCTTCCCCTTCGCCCTACCCGTCTTCAGTTTTGCATAAGCCTTGGGCGCGTCCTCGTACTGGAAGACCTCGTCAATCACACCCTTGATCCTGCCCTCCTTCATCCACTCCCCTATCCTCGCCAGCCCCTCGTGGCTCTGCTTCGTCACGACCATGGCGAACTTGCTCTTCCCCCCTCCAAGGAAGCCAGGAACAAATGACCTCGTCACCACAGACTTGATCTGCGAAGCGCTGGCCCCTCCACCAACCTGAACAAACTGCCCGTCGTCCACCAGGAACGCGTTCGCAGCGGTATACAGGTCCTCCTGCCCCGGCGGCGTGAAGCCGACGTTGTCGACCACGAGCTTGAACACCTTCCCCTTGGCCTTGAGCACCTCGCTCACGTTCTGCTCCTTGTAGTCAATGACCTCGTCGGCCCCCAGACCCCGACACAGCTCCGCGTTCGCCCCGGAGCAGCTGGCCGTGACGTGCAGCCCCAGCGCCTTGGCGATCTGGATGCCAAAGGTGCCGGTGCCGCCGCTGCCGCCGTTGATGAAGACCTTGTCGCCCTCCGCGGCGTAGGGCTGGATGCTCTGCAGCGCCGTGAGGCCGCACGTCCCGACGCACGCGAGCTGGTCCGTCCTGTCCGCCCACCCCTCGGGCGCCGCCGCGACGGCCTCGCCGTCCTTGGCGACGACGTACTCGGCCAGCGCGCCGTACCGGTTCTTGATGGGCTCGACCCTGCCGAAGACCTTCTGCCCCGGCCGGTACGCCTTGACGTCGCTGCCCACGGCCGCGACGGTCCCGCTGAAGTCCATCCCCGGGCTGGCGGGCACGGGGATCACGAGCCTGGACAGGAGGCCCAGCTCGGGCAGCTTGTAGTCAGCTGGGTTGAGGGTCATGTGGCTGACGCGCACCAGGACCGAGTCCTTGCCCAGCAGGGCCTTGGGCGGCGGGGTCGTGTCGGTCTGCAGCTGTAGGGCTTTTTCGAGGCCGCCGCTGGCGCTGCTGTATGTCCAGGCGCGCATGGTTTGCGGCCAAGCGTCTCCTGTGGATGCTGCCATCCTGTCTGGTTGGTGCAGGAGGTTGTTCTATGTGTTCGCGGATGTTGATGTTTTGGCTACCGCCAGGAAACTCATGCAGGGAAAATGGGCGAGAACGTCGTCAAAATTGAGTTTGGGCCTCGATGGGTTGCCAAATGAGACATGGGTCATGACGTAAACGGGGCTCGGCTGAAGTCGACCGCCGGCTGGAGTCACCGGCTCGGCTACGGAATAGCGACACACGCGAGGTTTCCGTCCCAATAGATGCTGTTCTAAGGTTGGGATGACACTGACAGGTTGTCAGCATGAATACTGGACGATGCACGTTTTAGGGCAGCTCCAGCCCATGAGGAACTCCCAGTGGTTCTTTCTCGTACCTCCTGAAGTTCGGCAATGTGAATTGATCACGAGGTCACAATTGGAACAAGTCACCAGAATAGGAATCCCATCTCCATGTCATCTCTGACCACCGACATGATAGCACCTCCCAATGAACTCAAGCACTCTCAGCTTTGTGAGGGGCGTGGATTCCGTAAATGCACTTCTGCTCCGGGTCGGAGCATCACCGACCGCAAATGCAATGCCTGGCCATGTTGTGCGTTGTCTTGATTATTTTTTTTGTGTTCTTGGATATGCTATTGTTCAATGTGGTAGAGTTGGAAAAGTGGCTCAAGAATCATACGGGTGATTGATTATGTTAGGGATCTTGACCCAGCTACCTGAATTACATGCCCCTGGGGGCGAACCACTCATCCCAATCATTTACTCATTACACGTTGATCATTTTTAACATCTCATCATCGGCCACGCATCCTGGAAGCAACTCCCCTTGTCCCCGAGGAGCGACTACTCCGGCCCCTCGAAGACACTCGCTTCCCTCGGCCCATGTTCCCCGGCTTCTCCGCCATATCTGGACTCATCAACCCCAGTCCTGAGTCCCTGAACGGTTGCTCCCTGGGCGTTGGCTTTGCCTGCCCTGGCGCGTTTGTTCTGGCGCCCGCACTGGCCTGAGGTCGTCGACTATCCGTCACTCGAGCATCCTCGCCATCGGTCACGAAGTCATCCCCAACACTCACGCCAGAGTCGGCCCTGGACGCCAGCTCCCGTGCCTCGGCATGCACCCTAGCCTCATGCTCCTCATCGTCCATCTCCTCCTGCATGTCAGCAGTGTCGATGGAATAAGTCGACGACGGGCTGGCAGCGAAGCCGACCTCGTCATTAACCACGTCCACGTACTCCTCCACCAGGTCCGAGTACTCGATCAGCGAGTCGGCCTGCTCCTGCATCGTCACCACGAGCTCGACCATGTCCTGCAGCGCGAGGCTCTCCTCCTCGAGCTGGCTCTGCTGGCTCGTTATCGAGTTCATGATCTCGAGGACGTCCTGCAGGAGGTCTGGCAGTCGGCGCCGCGGCGGCGTTGCTGCCGTGCCTCTGTCCTGCGTCTTGTGTGGCAGCAGCGCCGCCGACGGCCTGATCGGGAACTCGTCGTCGCCATCATCGCCGTCGTCGCTCCCGTCGAGGAGATAAGGCGTCGGGATGGGGCTGGGCGGCCGTTGCAGGTGTGTCCAGTGGCCCAGGGTTGGCGAGTCGGCCTGGAGGTGCAGCGGGGCGGGCTTGCGTTTCTGTTGCGAGTGACGGAAAGCCTGCGTTCTGCTGTAGAGTGGAGACGGTGACTGCAGCTGCACCGCATCATGTATCGGCGTTTGCGGTTGGTATGGTGGTCGTTGGTAGTACTGAGGCGAGAGAGGGCTTGGGTTCCGCGGGAAGATAATAGGTGGGCTCTTCAGTGCTGGTGAGAGCGCATATTCCACACCTCGATACGCTGCTGACATTTGCCGTCGATGTCTCGAGGCTGCTGTGCTTCCATCCATGAATCCGTCGAGTATAGGCATGCAGTCGTCGTCTGAGTCAGGGCTGCTGCCTGGTGATGGCTGAGGCTGGGACGAGGTCGGCGATGCTTCAGACTGCCTGGGAGGAGGAAAGTGGTTTGCGTTCTTGTGCCTGAAATGACGATGCAGCCCTTGATTTAACGTGGCTTCCAAATCCTCTCCCCGACCTTTGGACGTCATCTTGCGGTGGCAATGTTAAGTGGCTAGTAGCATGAATTCGAGTAGGAATACGGGAACTGCGTGCGCCCAGGAAGCTAACCGAACCTTGATGAAGGAGTTGATATTGGATATAAGATCTCCACTGATGGACGACCGGTTGACATATCGACTCAGCCCAGGTGCCGACGGCGACATTGAGACGTGGATCGACTCCAGGGTGGAGTGGCCCTCCCGGATTAGCATCAGTGTCCTCTTTGCTGCGCAGGTGGCTTGCGCACGACTGTCCTTGACGATGTCTACGTCAGATTCATGCGCAGGGACATCTGCGACCCGCCGAGGACCATTATCAGGAGGAAATATCCCTTCTAGTCGAACTCTGCGTGAAACGGTTGATTGGGCACAAAGCCAGGTGAACCCCTGGCCCGGCGAGCTTGTCGCATTGACGAGGCCGTGGCTGTGGCGCCCAGCTCCGCGGGTTGGGCAGGCTGGATGGGTAGGACCGAAAGCCCGACGCCCCCGACGACGGGTCCGCAGAGTGAAACGAAACATAATGGCTTCGGTTCTCGAGGCCGACTCGGCAACAAGCGCCGAGCCGCGCACCATTCAGGCTGATGTTTGGTCCGGCAGCGGACGGAACTAGTCGTCGTCGCAACGGCTCATCGCGGACCCTGAATTTGTAGACGTGGTGTCAACGGCACGAGGGGCGTGCGCAAGACTTACGCAACGTCCAAGGAGCATTGAGCTCGCCCGCATAAGACGCATGAACCCCGTCTGGAGGCACATGAACTTACCCAGCTTGAACTCATGGCGACAAAGCGCGCAGACGAATAGGACATCTGGACGCTCATAGATGCATGTTAGATAATACCGTTCAGGAGTCCAGTGGATCACGAGAATTTACCTGACTTCGAGTTATTAGTAGTCTCTGTTTGCGCCTCAAGCAACCCCGTGGCACCCAAGAATTTGGTCTATTCAACATCGTGTAAATTGGTATTGCTATCCATGAGCTTGTTGTTGTATGCAAGAAACCCTTGTTTGGTCCCATAATTACTCAGCTAGGCGTGATTCCAACTCGACGCCGATCTCATCGCCTTGCAGTCCTTCCTAATATACTGTGGGATCCACCCGCAAACGCCTCCTCCTCCTCATACCTGTGGTCGGAACTGGCTTCTCCAGTCTCCATGCCCAGAGCAGCAGATCTTCCAGCACCAAGAAGTTCAGCAAGACCCGGTTGCACATGAAGCCCATCAGCACGACCAGTGTGGCAACCATGGCGTCCAACAGGTAGTGGTTCGCTGTCGCGACGATGGTCAACAAGACCCATGAGGGATACCACACACCGAACGCGAAGAAGGCGATACGTGACTTGGTGGAACGCTCGCTGGTGGACTGCTGTTCAACCTCGACCTCAGACGTGCTGCTCTGACTCTCCTCATCCGATCCCGGAACGGGAAGCCATGTCTGGCTAGGGTTGCGAGTCTTGCCATAGCGCCTATATATCTCCTTGACCCCGCTGACCGCGGCACTCTCATAGATGAAAACGAGTCCGATGCAGAAGGCATAGCCAAAGTGCATACTGGGCATGGCGGCCAGGCGGTTGACAAAGTTTCCACTCTGCCACACCGACGTGGCATCCTCGCCGTTGACCGTGTCGATGAAGCCGTACTCTGGCGGCAGCAGACGCGGCGGCATGCACGGGTAGAGGATAAAGATGGTGAAGGCGAACAGGTTCAGCAGGGTCATGGTTCGACGCACGGTCGCGAAGCGGGTGAAGGTCGGCGACACGTAGTAGTAGAATGCGATGAAACTAGAGCCAATGGTTAGCGCTGGTTTGCGCTGGTTTGCGACAAGGAACGGCGCCCGAGGGGTCTTCGAGGCCGCGCGTCAATGCATCGTAACTCCCCGAAAGTTTTGAACGCGGTAATGCATGCAAACGCGCTCATCCGGAGAAAAAAGACAGAACCAAAGAAATGCGGAATGGAAACCTACCCAACAGTCCCGGGGATATGGATAAGGGAGTACGACCGGTTCAGAATAGTGAGGAATATGCCACGGAAGTCGCCGGCCCTTGCGCCGGTGAGGAACCATTGCTGAACATTCCACTCAATCCACCTGGCGGTCCCTGTCAAGGAACTCCTCCCGAACATGGCAGATTCCAACTCCAACAATGCTATGCCGTGATTCTGGGCGGTTTCCCACATGTTGTCCTTGCCACCATAGTAAACCGACGCCAGGTGTGCAGTCATACGGTAGAAGAAGAACTGTAGGACCCAGTAGAACATCTCGACGAGAAAGGGGAACTTTTGCAAGATGCGCGAGTGGAAGTGTCGAGCGAAGCGCGACGAGTTGGGCGTACGAACGGTCCATATCCCAAAGACACGGCGGGTCTTGGTCGGATGGTCTGTTCGATATGTAGCGATCGGGTCGCTGTCGATGGAGGTCCTGGGGGAGCCGGACGCTGGAGAGGCTATTATTGGGCTGTAACTCTGGTTGCTCCCGAAGATGGAGTAGTTCTTTGTTCGGGTGAGGAACATGGAGGTGAACAGGATAGTCACAATCAGCTGTAGAGGAAGAGACAGGTCAGCACATGCATAGGAATCGGACAGGGAGGAGGGTAGGGTGTTGACAGCGGGCACGTACGAAAGCCTCGACCCAGTCGGGCATGCGAAAGACATGGGGATGCCAGTCATCATCGGGGGTTCCAGTGGTGGACATTTTGGCAAGATCGATTCGGCCGAAGCCTCGTGTAAAGGTATCCAAGCTGGGGGAGGCTGATATTCAAAACTGAGCTGGCCGAGACGCAGGCATGTACAGAAACAGGCCGGGACTGGCGAGTGAGGTCGGATGTCCGTAGGTAGAGACGGAGACGAAGACGAAGACGCGGCTGGGAGCCGGCGTTGTATAGCCGTCACAAAGTACAACACACTGCCAAAATAGTATACAATGTAATCCAAGTGGAAGTGGACGGAGAAACCCGGTATCACTGGTGAGGATTGCGACTTGGGAGACAGAAGATGCCGGCGCAGCACAGCACAGCAGATCCCACGAAGTTTCGGAGGGTCCCTGATGCCGATCGTTTCTCCGTTCCTCGACAGTGGATGGATGCTCAAAAGGAGGTAATATTAGTGCTCCTCAACGCCGTGGGAGGGGGCGGTTGAAGCGAAGAGGTGGGAACGGAGAGTCCCAGGCGGAAGTCGGTGAGGGTGAAGAAGTGAAGAAGTTGTGTAGGGCGAGACAGGAGGAAGGAAGCACGACAAGACAAATTGGCATGGGCGGGCACACGAGCGAGCACGGAACGCTGGACGCTGGGGACAGTGCCGTGCAGTGCGGAAAACACAGAGGTACTTCTCTCCGTCCTCGACCGACCCCAGGACCCCAGCACCCATGCCGGATCTAATCATGGGCAAGCGCAACCCCCTGTGATGTGCTGGTTAGCGTGCCGTTCTGGGCGACTAGGCGTTGCCAAGACGCGGATTCCGTAGGCCAGACAGTGCAAATCATCTTACGCCGTCCAGTCCAGTTCAACGTGTGGAGGACTGATGAGTTGGGGCTGCACTTTGCTGGGTACTAGTATGGTAACCCAAACCTGGAGGTTTGGATGATTGCTTTCAGATATGACTAGACAGCACGGAACAGTCATGTCCAAGTGCCTAGATAGCAAGCAGACTCCCAACAGGGCACCGTGATAAGCAGAATTGCCCAGCTGCCCAGCTGCCCAGCGCGACTTGAGAAGCCAACCAGATTGCCCGGGTGCCTTGGCATCCCAACCTCAGCCGTGCCAACAAGCGCTGACGGATTCCCTCCGCCCCTGGGCCGTAGCTGCAATTGCACTGCTCTGTGTGTGTGCACAGCAGCCAGCCCTATTATTATCGTTGGCATCAGCATTGGCATCAGCTTCATGTTGATCCTCCTCGCCAGCCTGACAGCCTGGCATACCTCTTGATGTTCAGCCCCAAGCTGCGACCATGAATGGATGCTCTTGGTTCTGGCGTGAACAGCGGAAGATTTGTTGTCATTCGCGACTGCTAAACGAGGAACTGCAAAGCAGCTTTTCAGATGAGGGCCATTGATTATAGTCAAGGGCCGCAGCATAGATTCTACACACGTATATGCCTCGTACGAATATTTTTGCCGGCCGCGTTGGGGGCCGACACAACACAACGACGCAGGCGTCATCCCAAGTCCAGCCAAGGCATTGTCTGCCAAGACAACGGACCAGGGCTCTGGCACGACGACTCGGTCGACAACAATGCTGTCAAAAATGAGTGCCACACGTATACGTATACGTATGATCCGAACTGCCGTGCAGTCTACTATCTGTCTGATTTGACTGCTCGCAGACCGAGAGCACGTGCGCTGTATGCGTTAGATGATGAAGCCATCGAAGGGGGGAGTTTCGAGAACGCTCGGTGTGGGTATCCAGTCCACTTTCAGTCGGGCGTTGATCATGGCACTGTGTTCAACAATTCGGGGTGCAACAGCGAGAATCAAAAGATGCCCACTGAAAAAGGTTGCGCAAGGGTTCATCAAGCTCATTTGCCACGGCATGTCTAATTGTTGCACATCGTCGGAGGTGCCCGCCCGGACGATCATGGGCATTGGTAGTCTCGAAGAAGCCTGTCAACGAGTTATGGCCATATTGTGTTGTTCGCCTTGGCAACAGAAATTTTCACAGTCCCGATGTTGAGGCCGCTCCCCCCAGGTCCATGGCTGCATGGCAACAATTCCTTTGGCGGAGATGAGCCGCGATCACGCAAACCCGAGTCGAGTCGAGTCCGTCCAAGGTCAAGGGATAAAAGCGGGCACGCGACCACTTGGGAGTTGGGGTCACCTCGGCAGCGCTAGGAGGGAACAGGCTGAGAGGCCTGAAGAGTGGCAGCCTGGGGGGGAATGGTGGGGGGCCACTGACGATCTTGGCAATACGATTTATCCGAATACGTCGCCCCCAGCACACAATCCGGTGCGCCTACTCCGTACAGCGCAGTAGGAACAACCCAGACACAAGCCCGTCCTGATGGTACCAACACTCCCAGCGCCACCCCGTCATCCCGGCAGTTGAATCCTGTGGCCCTGACCATGCAAGCGTGTAGAAAAGGCGTGGGCGAATGTCGAGAGGCAAGCAGCAACAGAACGCTTTGTCTTCGATATCCAGCGATTGTCATTCAATTCAATTCATACCATGCAGATAAGCAGCCCTGTTAGCATCCAATCTAATCTCGCAAGGCACACGCAGGCGCCCATGCGCGATCGTGCTAGTGGTAGCATGCCCATCCGCTTGGTCCGCCTGCGCAGGAAAGTAAGATCTGCACGCATCCGGCGCACCACCAACTCCCAGGTGCAAACCCTCTCTCATTCGCCCAGTCGGGTTCTCGGGCACTTGGGCACAGTGTGGGGAGGGATTCTGAAGGATTGAGGCACCGCCATCCAGTACAGTATCTGCATCCTCATGCATCTTGTGTCTATCAGCATACAGAACTTGTAATATCATGACAGCACGACCGCGAGTATTACCCAAGAATCTTTCGGGAATGACCTCCGGAGGCCTGCACGTCATCCGGTGTGCTGGCCGAAGCTGACATCTACACCCGGCCGGTGCCTCTGCTTCAGCAAGGACGACTCCCGAGCATCACCGGACCGCAGATGCCGGCCTTGACCACAGCAGCAATTCTCTATTCAGGACTCGGACAGACTATCTATCAACTTTGACGCCTGCGTTGCTTTCCATCCCACTCTCCTCAGGAGGGATCTTTTCGGCCACCATGCTTCGCAGCTTGGTAAGCCCCCCCATTTCTCGCTTCCGTCCATGTCCTTGTCCACGGCCGCACTCAGGCTGTGCTCCAGTTCGGAGACTTCTTACACATTCTGGAAGCAATACGCACGAGACGGACCATCCTTGGGCCGTACATGATAAATGCAGCTTCACGGACACGTAGGTCGCGGGTCAATCAACGTCCTTTGACATGGCAGTTCCACCTTTGTCGGCGACATCTGGAGGGGCCTCATGCACGTGTATATATGTTGGAAGCATTTAAACAGGCACCCGAGGACGATAGAAATTGAGTTCCTGCCCAGAAAGACTATCGAATTCTAATCATCATTTCTTCCGTATCTCCCTGACATTAAGAATGCCGTCAAAATTGCCCCCAACCCACCAAGCAGTCTTTCTCCCTGCAAAGGGAGAACCGAACGGCCCTGTTCACAAGAGAGACGCCCCGGGCCGGCCCCGGCAGCGCCGTCGTCCGCGTGCTCTCCGCATATGTCATATCCTACGCGAACGAGATATACGGGCTCAAACGCCCTCACGGCCTGCCCACCCCGTTCGTCCCGGGCTCCGGCGCCATCTGCCGGGTCGAGGAGGTCGGCCCGGACGCAACATCCGTCGCCCCGGGCCAGCTCGTCCTCTTCGACACGATGATCCGCGCCCGCGACATCCCCCACGAGTTCTACCTGTCCGGGGGCCCTCGCGGGTATAATCGAGGCGTCCCACAAGTTCGCGCAGGGCGAGTTCCGCGACTCGACGTACGCGGAGTACGCGAGGATCCCCCTGGAGAGCTGCCTCCCGCTGGACGAGGACCGCCTCGTCCGGGGCCTGGGGTACACAATCGACGACCTGGCGCACCTGATCCCGCCGATGGTCCCCTACGGCGGCCTGCGCGACCTCGGCCTGCTGGCCGGCGAGACGGTCCTGGTCTCGCCCGCGACGGGCAAGTACGGAGGCGCCGCCGTGCACGTCGCGCTGGCGCTCGGGGCGAGGGTGGCGGCCATGGGGCGCAGGGAGAAGAGCCTCGCGAAGCTGGCCAAGCTGGGCGGCGGCCGGGTCTCGACGGTTCGGATCACGGGCGACGCGGACGCGGACGCCGCCGCGATCAAGGACAAGGCAGGGGGCCTGGTGGACGTGTGGATGGACCTGTCGCCGCCCGAGGCGAGCGGGTCGTCGCACTTCAAGAGCTGCATCCAGGCGCTCAGGTTTGGTGGGCGCATCAGCCTGATGTGCGCCGTGGCGGGTGTATCGCTGGATATCTCTGACATCACCTACCGGGCGGCGACTGTCAAGGGGACGATGATGTGCTCCCGTGATGAGGCGTTGCAGGTGGTCAAGATGGCTGAGGCGGGCGTGCTACCTCTGGGGCCAAAGGCTGGGCCAAACATAGTCGGCAAGTTTGGGCTGGATAGCTTTCAGGCTGCACTGGAAACCGCTGCAGAACATAACGGGCCTGGCGAGATGGTTGTTGTGAAGCCTTGAATCGATGATAACCCTGGTTCCTAAGGTACTTCTACGCCCCAGTGTGCATTGCACACAGCTGAGAATTGGGCGATAGGAAATTAGCCTCGCGGATTTGTATACTTCGAACATTTTCCAACCTTGGTCGAGCTTGCTCACTTTCGAAATTAGTAGGGCACGAGCCCACAGGGTGATGATTATGTCCAGCGCTTTAGAGATCATACATAGTACGACGCGACATCTGGATGAGTAGAACATATGGAATGCATAGATGCTGTCCTAGAGAAGGGGTATTGTGGTATATACGGCTCCATTCCTGGTCTCACAGCCAGTGAGTCGGGCATAATCGTGTTAGGTGCATCTGCCTTCGTGAACATCAGATCGTAACTCATGGGAAAAACAATTCTTCTGATCCCACTCATTTACTTTTCCCTCCCCTCAGCAAATCATCGAAATTAGTAACCAAGCAGAAGCAGTCTTGTCCTCAACCAGACCACAAAAGAACAAGCACACTTGATAAGTTCTGCAGCCCATGCCTGCAGTCCCACCTTAACAGAAGGTGAGAACATCATTATCCCACATAGCCAGGTCCTCTGAACTGCGATCCTCATGGATCACGTGGAGGCCAGAGGAGAGACCCACGAGGTCAACTGCGCTCCCCAGTCCGGAAGACCCTTCTTCGGCGTCATAGAAGGAACCCAGGTAGTTGATATCATTGCCGTAGAAGACCTCGTCCCCGTCACGGGCTATGCCTTCGTAAACCACAATCGTTCCGGCAGGGTCCTTCCAGAAGCTGGGCTCCTCTCCCTTTTCGGAGTCATCCTGGCCGCCGTCCGTGTCTCCGTCTCGGGCAGTCTGGTCCGAGGGGGAACTTGTGGTTGTGGACGGCTCGGGGTTCGAGGGCCGCTGGAAAGGGGAGATGACTCTTTTCGAAGGCGAGTTTTCGTCGGCGTATGGATCCGGATTCAGTGGTCGCGCGTATGGGGAAGGCGTATGCGGGCTTGACGGCGAGATTTCGGCGCTCGGCGGCGTCTGTCCTGCGGAAGACTCTGAGGGGACTTTGCAGGAACCATCGAGGGCGACGAAGTAAGACGTCTCTGGGTACAACACAAAACGTCGACCGAGGGTGTCTTGAGCTGTGATGGTCGGGCCGGTTGTTTTGTTCTCCCAGTCCTTTTCGTGTTTCATCATGTTGATAACCGTGAGGGGGCTGGAGTTGACGTTCGCTACGTCTTGGGCCTTGACGGCAGCCAGAGGACCAGAGTCGACGTCTGTAGCATCTTGTTTGTCGGGATCCCGGCCACAATGGCAGCACTGCTTTGGCGGCGACGGCGGAGCGTCATTCTTTGGTGTCAGGCATGGTGTTGTCTCAGGCTCGCTGAGCTCATCGATCCTGGAAGTAACCACAGATGTGTGGAGAGAAGCCCTTGTGCTGATCCGCAGCCCTGATTCTGAGCCAAGCGACGACATAGGCGTGACTGTCCTGCCAGCAGGACTGTTCCGGGACAGTAGGCCACTGTGGGTCCGCACTCGGCGGACCTCGTCATTGTGAGAGAATATTGTGCTTGTCCGGCTTGGAGGCCGAGAGGATATCCACTCATCCTCTTTCGGCGGGCTGCCAATCGACAGTGATGGCGAGGACGACACGTCCCGTAATGCTGGTTGAGATGGGCTAGGAACAATCGGCAATTGTCTGTTGACGTAGGCCAGCATGTCAAGATAACCCTCAAAATCAGATACTGAGACATTAGTATCGATATCAGCGCTTACGCCTCCATGTCGACCGCCGGACCTTGAGCTGCCGTCGTCCGGCAGGTCAGGCAAAGGTTTGTCGAGATTGATCGGAGTGTGGATGCGGATGGGCGCGAGAGACGGAGCGCCGTCCACAATCATAGGACCGCTCTGGAATGCTGGTTTCGATCCACGGAGGCTGGTTGGGCGCCTGATTGCTGACTTGGCCGCCTTCACTTTGAGTGAAAATGTCGACATGGATGACCTTAGTGTCTTCTGGGTGGGTTGTGTGTCGGTTTCCATGGTTCTTCGCAACTGTGGTGGTGTAGTGTTGGACAAAACATCGCCTTTGACATCCTTAGGTTTCCCTAGAGCCATTTCTGGCCCGACCAAGAGAAACATGCTGTCCAAAGAAAATACACATAGACATTGACCTAGTCGCGCATATTAGCCACCAGGAAGCAATAGGTGTGCAAAACAGACGTTCCAAGGTTCCAACGCGCGAAGATAAGAAACAATGCCGCGTATCAAGGTACTATGTAAATGAAGATGTTGGGCCCTCGGAGGTCTTGTCACGAAGGCAGCCTTCGCCGTTGGGCTCCAAATAGCTCTTGTCCGTCGCTTATTTTGACCAGTCTTTGGTGAGCTTCTGACAAGGTTTCTGGAGCAAGAGATGCGGCGTTTGATTCACATCGACGCCGCGGGGGAAGGACTTCCCTCCCCGGATCGTCCGGACAACACGAGTAATAAACAGTATTGGCAGCTACGCGACAACTGGTCGCAAATAGACTGGAAGAAAACTTGCTCTCGCAATCCAGCACCACTTACCTGGTCTTTCTATTGGCTTTGACTCAAAATCCTTCCGTGCGAGCTGAAGAAGGAGGCATTAATGTCGAGATGATAGCGAGCGGTCCTGGTGAGGCTCCCCCTGCACGATTTGAGGCAACAAGAGCCCAAGTCGGCAACGACAATTACGAAAGTGGATCTGGTTATCCCATTGGATCCGGAGGGGGCAGGTCGACTGATGAATGTCAGGTATCAACTGCGCCATGCGCGATCGCGTCGCAGAAAAATATCTTTGGCCGCATTGGTTCCTTGCGCGTCTGTTTCTTGTTTGACCATTGCAGGGTAGAGGTGGCGCACGGTCAGGTTGGCATCTTGATTTCCGCCTCAAACTTTCGTATGTTTCGCAGGATCATAAACCGATTGGTCTCGATAGGATTTTCATTGCGTCAACTAGCCCCTTTGAGCGCGGAATCACGCCCAAAACCTTCACTCCACACCTGTCACCTGTGCGCAACTGAAAAATCATGCCCAGAACTGCCAGATACTCAGCGTTCAGGCTCCCTTCTCCTTCGTACCTTTCCTGCGCTCAGACGCCCGGCGGCTTGGGTGGACCCCAATGACGCCCTCCCACGGTCCGATCCTACCTGAGCACGCACATTACGGATTTAGCACTCCGATTCGTCCAGGTCTAGCCGGCGAGATGATCTGGTCCGCATTTTGTTTACTCCGTTGGTGACGACATGACGTTCACGCTCGCAATACTCCAGCGGGCACGGCCACGACGTCCATACCCGAACCGCATCCTCAAAGCTACCTTGCAGATAGCGGATTGGATTCTGGTGCTTTTTATGCGCCTTTGGCGAGTTGTATATCGTTCTACTATTTGTTTCGGTCGCTGCGTATGTCGCTTGATTATGACAAGCTCCGTAGCCTTCGATCCATGTTCACAAGCCAGTCCCAGGTTTTGCTTCTCAAAGGAGTAGACAAGATGTGAATAACACGGAGTGAGAACTGCATAACTATGTTCAGAGAAATTCAAATCGGAACTCGATTCTGTGAACGCACCACAAAACAGACGAAAGGCAGAACTTCCGAATTGAACGAGGTTGACAGAACCGGGGTTGGCCTTGTGTCGAAGCCCAAGTTTGCAATCACTCTTGCGAGCACGGCTGTGACAAAAAGACCGGTGCACAAAGCTCTTGTTTCTTCAACCACTCTTTTCCTCCACTCGAGAGACAAACAGCCACCCATGCTGAGAGATTGTCGCTTGATACGGTAATTGAGGGCTTTTGGTCCCGGTGTATCGCTTAGACTGCACGGAAGAAATTTTGGAGTATTGATTTGTGGATTAAGTGGAAAGCGAATAGCACAAACGCCAACACGACAGACGGCATTGAAAGGCTTGCTAATTCAATTGTTGGTATAGGTCATTGTTCTACCGGTTCCGGCGATGCCCCGGCACGAGGTATTCAAATCTATGGACTCACAAGCTACGCTGGGCTAGTGAAAGAATTCCAGCGTAGTCTCCTCCAGTAGCGTGATAGGAAATATTCAACCCTTCGGGGGAATTATCCGTGATGAGCTCCAGGTGTCGGCTCAAATGCAGGTAAGCGGCCCTACCTATCGACTACTTACGAACTGTGGTGCTCCTCCTCTACCTGTAGATCACTCACACTCTCAGGTTTCTGAGGGTGGTAGACACTGTTTTGGCCAGTAGTTCAGTCTGTTTTCACCATGGGAATACTAGGCCAGGTTCAATTTCTGTGCTAGCAATGCTGGAAAGGAGAATCCAAAAGTCTCCTTGTCATTCGCCCCTCATTGAGAGATTTAGGTACTGGAAAGCGAGAAGTTGAGTGCCTCTGTCATTGTGCGTTTCAGAGTAGCATTTTCTGAGAACACGTCCATGGCTTGGTAAAATCCAAAGTGTTCGAACCTGCGTTCGGAGTGCGTCCGGCCACCGAGGCTCAGGGACCGACAAGATTCGTCCTGCATGCGTACAACCCACCACCATCAATAGTTCGTCGAAGGATGCAACGGCTAGAAATTTAGAGCCAGCACCACATGATCTTTCCATGCATAACAACTGGATAATATCGTTCGCTCCAACTTTCGCTCCATGGTTTCGGGGCCGATGGGGTGTTGGTCCGCTTGACCGGCTGACAAGGCCGAAGAGTGCACGTCTCATGCATAGGCTGAATGGCGGTACCATGCTGACGAAACAGACTATTGAGGGCTAGAGCATTACATCGTGCACAGAATGGCGCACCATAGGCTTCCTTCCTAGACCGGGTTCCTTATGCGGCTTGCGTGTTTGACAATGGAGTTTGAGGCTGGCATTCGCCTCGTAACAGCTCGTGGGAACTGTCATATCAGGCACAAGCCCGGGTATTGATATATAAGGAAGAGGTGGGGACACCCAGATCACATCCTGTATGCCAAAACTCCAGAGAACCGAAGACACGCTCCCAAGATGAAGCTTTCGCTCTATTATGCCTTTGCATTTCTGCTCGCGGTATCCTATGGAGTGGATATCAAAGCTAGAAATCCAACAACCACGACAGTCACAGTGACTGTTACTGCTACTGCATCTCCTAGCAAGACCACAAGCACCAAGACCACGACTTCGAAGACCACAACCTCAAAAACTAAGACTAGCAAGACCACATCCTGGACCAAAACAACCCTTACAACCACAACTTTAAGCACAACGAAATCCTCGTGTGCCCCTACAGCGCCGGCCGGGACACAGAGCCTCTACGGCCAATGTCAGTATAAACTGATTATACTTCTGGCAGTTCCGTCCGTTACTGATACAATGAGGTCGCTGCAGGTGGTGGCCTGAACTACTGTGGTCCCACGAATTGCCCAAAGGGAGCATACTGTCGGGATGGGTTGCTGGATGACAAGTGAGCCCGGGCTTGGTCACATTTAAGAGAAGTTAACAGGCAGCTAATCTTGTCCCACAGTCCGTTCTATTCTCAGTGTGTTGCAAGCAGCACCAAGACACCTGACCCCATCATCACCAGCACTATCATTACGACCGTCACCGTCACGCCGACCTCCCCAGGGATTACATATATCACAGTCACAACGACAGTCACAGCCACATCCAAGTAATACTAGATGCTTATAACGGTGGTGGGTCAGTGGGAAAGGGACTCAACAGTGGTGCGGAGATTGTTGATTAGCGGTGAAGAAGAGCTTATACAAGCAGATAGCCCATCAACGCATGCAATTTGTGTTGTTGATCAAGATGAGACAGTAGTACCACCATATGTACTTGACACTGTTCAGAATGCAGCCGCCGCAATCTTTTCCAGGAGGGAGGTGACGTGAAGTCTGTCCGATAAAGCCAGATTACTTGGGAGCCATCTGCCTCCAGAAATCACACCTCTTTCCTCTACCTCCCTCCCACGTCCTGGCATCAACTTCCCTGAATGCATTCTCCAGTCCAGGCTCAACATTGACAGCAATCTCCCCAAGACCGAGCCCGGCGTCTGCTGTTGTCGGCGTGCCGCCAGTCTGGTTGAAATTAACCATCAAGTTGTTTCCCCATCTCGGCCAGTTCGACAAAACGTCAGAGTCAGAGTTATTGGCAACATCGCTTGGTATATTTGGCGATCCAGTAGCGATGTAAGCACCCCACATGCTCTGCCATGCCCGGACAAACGCAGCCCCTTGATTTGGTGTCGACGGGCCAAGATAGCCCGAGATGTCAGCTCCATGGGGAGCAGGCGGGCTGGTGTATGTGAAGAGGTATGACGACTTGGCTGAGTCGCCAGTGTAGCCGGTTGCTACCCAGTAGGAGGGGCACTGGAATGTGGCTTCAGCGTAGATGGCGTCGGCGCGCTGTTGGTTGCCAATGGCGAAGGGTGACACGTCGACCGCCGTCGGACCGCTGTCGCCTGCCGTTGCGAAACGAGGGTTGGTGGTGTCCATACCATATTCGGAAAGAGGGTACGTCTTGAGCACAGATGCGATGTCGTTGTCGTCGAATCGTGGAAAACTGACGCGCAGAAATTCGACCAGTGCCTTCTCAGTGGTGATATTTCTGGGTACGAAGATAGGGCCTTCGTCTGCGTTATGGCTGGCCCACATGTGGTTTCCGTTCACTGCCCTGTCGTCCAGCAGTTGGGTAGACGGGGCTTTCTGGATGAAAGATCCATCCGTAACGGGGGCGAATGCCCACGTGCCGTATGCTGCAGCATTGGTAACATTGATATTCGCTTCCTGGAGAACTTCGACATCTTTGCTGCGAAGGCAAGACAGTTTGTCGGGATCGCCTTCGCACCCGCTCAATGTGACAAACTGGTCATACAGGGAGGTTGGGAAATCGTCATCATAGCTGAGATTTTGATCAGTCGAAGAGCAGTAGAAGAGTCTCAGTATCTAACTTACTTGTAATGTCTAGGAAGATATGGCGAGGAAGCCATACCCTAAAGAGTGGTTAGACGACGCCAGCTGTACAGACATATGAACGGCCTCACCTTATCGAAAAGCTTGTCCCCGTCAGTACCACCATTCGCGATAGAATGCATCATGACTGATCCACCACCTGCAGACACGCCGTGGATAGTCACCCGTGACTTGTCTCCGCCAAATAGATGAATGTTCTTTTGTATCCATTCTAGAGAGAACCTCTGATCCAGTAAACCAGCATTCAAAGCCCCATCCGTCTTCACATCTTCAGATGACAAGAACCCGAAAGCGCCGAGCTGCAAGGCTTTAGATATCTTGGATATCGTACCACCTGAGTGTTTTACTTACTCTGTAGTTCATGGAGACAGCAACAAACTCGTTTCCGTTGGCGTTGATAAATTCCGTAAGGTCATAACTCCCGTCTGCCTGGCCGTAGCCTCCGCCATGAATCCAGACATAGACAGGGAGCTTTCTGGCCCCGCTCGGAGCATAGACGTTCAGGAACAGGCAGTCCTGGTCTTCTTCTGCTCCGAGGGGCGGCCATGCAGGAATGTTGCCTCCAGCGGCCAAGGTTTGAAGGCAGGCGGACCCAAAGGTGTCCCCTAGCACGGTCTGGCCAGTGTACTCTGGCTCAGTAGGGGCGCTGAAGCGAAGGTCTCCAATCGGAGGAGCAGCATAACGAATGCTACGCCGAGGTTAGCAGCTAGCCAGATGTACCTGAATCAACGAAACCCACCCTTTCCATGTGTTCAAATCCGTGCTGTTATCGTAAACACCTGTGTATCTCTCGTATCCGAGGTCAACGGTGAGGTGTCTGGGATGGGCGTGGCTGAGCAAGGCGAAACCTGCTACCAGAACTGCTTCGATGCGCATATTACGAGCTGTCATGTTGGGCTGTCCTGGGTGAGTAAACTGCTGTAAATTCTTCAACTATCTGATATTCCATTGAGCCGGATCTTCAGTGATCTTATATTCCACTAAAATGAGCGATAAATTCAAGTTCTTATTGTGTGACACAAGACTGACTCAGCGAGGCGCATTCGATCAGTTTGCTGTACACGTGGACGCCCAGAACCTGGGTAGGAATGGGGCGAAAATAAGATTGATATCAGATGACTGAGACAAAAGAACTACCTGCCCACGAATTACCCTTTGAAAGGACTCACTTCTGTGGCTAAGCAAGCCCTGGCCGTCAATTCTTCTGTCAGAAGACTCGAAAAACGCTGCGGTTTCGGGAAGGTGTTCTGTCATGACGGTGAGGGATTAGAAATCTGCACCTTAACTCACAGCAAGGAAACAAGAGTCGTGTGGTATCGGTACTCAGCTTAACCCATACATGCAAAAATTCAGGTTCACGTCAGCAAGCCACGTTTTATCCTCGTGGGAGCATATGGCTGTGCTTGTCCCGTTGGATTCCGATGTGTGCCTGGTCCGCAAGCCGTGAGGTACGTCGGATGACGAGAAGAAGGATTTATTCATTGCATCCATCCACGGGGAGGCCGTGTCACATGACGCAGTCGTCATCTGATGATACACAAAAGGCATGGGCATTGACAGGCACGTGGGAGCTAAGTCCCAAAGAGTGTGATGCTTATTGTAATCTTGTTTCCGCATTCGAACAATACACAACTTACATTTGAATCTAGCCCCATTTGAGAATCCATAGTCTTGTGTGAGAAAAGGAGGATTTCTTATGTGAAGAAACATATTCAGAAAAGAATAAGTTTCTGGGCCAGGGGGCTATACAACATGTGCGTATCAAGGTGGAAAGCTAGAGCGTAGGTCCCCACAACAAGGTCAATGCCTAGGAATGCTGTCATTAGGAGAACATTTCAAATCGACCGACATTTCCTAAAATGGACGTCCAACCTAGGTAAAAGGAGAGAAGCCGTTTGGATAAGAGCGAGATGTGGACCAAGCCTGGCAGCATTGCCATGATTGGGTGAGAGATAATAGGACCAGCAAAGCTAGGATCTTTGAAGACATCTTACAAAGACATATAGTAACGGAAGTGTTTTCCGTGAGAATTATCTCAAACAGTATCGTTAAAGTACTTCACTATGAGGTATCATTGCCAGCTAGCAAAGAATCACAAAACATAGAAACGCGATTCCAAATGACAAAAACTGAAATTCTGTCTGCCCCCTCCCCCCCTTTCGGCGGGCGCTGTTAACAGACAAGCAAGTTCCTAGAATGAATTGGCTACCATTCAGTCCATATGTTGAATAAGGTCTGAATCTTGGGTATGTGTTCCATGCTCGCGGCGACTTCTTCAATTCTTTTCATTTGTTCTTTCCGTAACTTGGACCCAAAAGTCGGAGATTGAAAATAGCCCGTACAATCTTGCTGTCCATGGCCTGTAAATCATCCAAAAGTCAATAATGCTGAGGGTGAGGAGCGTGGCCGCAAGGATGTACCAGGAAAGGTCCTGAGGACGGAACCATATGTGGCATGATATGAAGCAGAGGAAATCATCCGCTCACCTCTCTGGCTTCAACAGGGCCATATCAAAGTTACGAAAAGTCTGCGAGGTCAAGGCAGGTCAATGAAACATTGCTTTCAGAGTGGGCTCTTCCTCGTCTCACCTCAAATGTGATTTTACCAAGCTCTATCATGGCTACCGGCTTACCCAAGCACTGCCACTTCCCATCTCCAAATATCAAGTCGTTCGTCCTGGTCATTGCCGTCAGCTTTTCGGTATCTTTCTCGAACCACCGTTCAGGTCGGAAGCCCTGAGCATCATCCCCATATAGTGCCTTGTCGTGATGCATTGCACCGGCTGAGTAGCCTATGCAGGTACCACCGGGAATGAAGACGGATTTTCCATCAACCGTTACCGTGTCTCCTCCTGGTGGAACGTTTTTGCTGAAGATGTTGACCACGGGCGGCCTGACCCTCATTGCTTCCCGTATCACGGCCTGCAGGTAAGGGAGTTGTCTCGCCCGCTCGTGGGGGATAATGCCCGAGGCTGATGAATGGGAGGAGTGCCCGGATTGGACCGCCTCGTCGATCTCCTCTTGCAATTTCCGTTGGACACGAGGGTTGGCCATAAGGTGTAGGAACACTCCGTTGATGGCAGAGGACGTTGTGTCAGAGCCGGCTACCACCTGTTCAGCGGCCTCAGTTCGCAATTCGTCGTCGACCAGCCCGTGGCGGATGAACGATGCAAGCATGTCTGATCGCTCATCGGTGGGATCGGCAGCTCGCTGGTCGACGTAACGAAAGCATGTCGCGATCATCTTCCCAAACCCCGTCGGGTCCTTTGGGGACGGGGCAAGAATTCTCCCAAACCATGGCACGTGGGCAAGCCAACTTATTCCCAGGGCCATGAAAACAGTGGCCAGGTAGAGCCCTTCCTCGCTTGATTTGATATAGTCTGAGACGTCTCTGTCGCTCACCAGCATGCCAAACGACCTACCTAATCCCACAGAGCTGATGACGTCCAGCGTGAAGTATTGCACCTTCTTTGCGCACTCCATTGGAACAACCCGCTGCTCTGTGGATAGGTACTTGGATTTAATAAGTTGCACGAATTCTTGAACTCGCGCATCGACCGCGGCTTCGAGGTCATGGTTCTCTCGCCCCGAGTACTGTTTGATGGTCAGCCAGCGCCCATGTACGACAAAGGGGTCTCTTACTCCTGGCGCCATTTGCTTCCTCCTCTTTTCATGTTTGGCGTCGTCGGTCTGTGTGAAGACGTTGTCTCGACGGTGCTCAAAACGTAGGGCCTGATAATACCAGTCTGACCTTGTATACCCGGCCTTTCTGTTCACACGAGTCCAGAGCTCAGGAGAAGAGGTAACGAGAACATTCGGCGCGACCCGAGCGATGGGTCCTTTGCGAATGTCAGGTTACAGGGAGGAATAGTAAGCTAGGATGTGATCTTTGGGGGTGACTTGCCATATTTTTCATTAACGCTTTCATACCAATCGTGCAGTCTGGGGCCTATCATCTCCTTGGAGTGGAAGAAATCAGTCAGACCTGTTCCAGGAGGCCCTCTGAAATGTCGAAGGCGGCGGTATGCCAACGTCTTCTGCCCAATTAGGATGATCAGAAAGACGAGGCCAATCAGCCATGGCGAGCTGCAGTCCGGCAGATTCAATCCCATTGCTGTCTGCACCTTCAGAGCTTCAAGTTGTTTTGAATTCAGCGCGAGCCTGTCAAGCGAAGGAGTTTGAAGGTTCACGGGGATGAGGGGATCGATACATCGGCAGTGGAGTCAGATAAGATGACATGCAGATGCATTCGACGTGGAAGGGGGATGGCAAAAAGAAAAGAAGAGCCAAGCACTCATAAGCCGGATGTACATATTCCCCTCTCCCGAACCACAATACGTGAATACCCCACCAAATAAGCGGACGTGCGTTTTACGCTTTGCATGTAGCTGGTGAAGACTCCAAACATAGTCTACCTATGGTAACCACTCGAGCTCGGCCTGCTCCCGCCCAAATAATAAATGTCAGTCCAAGTTATGTGTCGAGCAGCTTGGGTTGCGCCGTCGCTGCTTTGATTTGCGTTGCGTCACCAATTACGACGGCTACATGTACACCTCACATGCGATAATGCTAGCCATATAGTCCAGCCTGCCTGATGTGAGATAAAATTAAATGACGAGGGAGGAATAATAAAAGTCTGCCTGGTTACTCCTTTGTTTGCTCTGCTCCTTCGCCTTGCCTGTGGTCTATCTTGGCTCGCCCCTCCCTCCCTCCGAATCGGTCGAGCTTTTAACATATTATATATCCGTTATGGCTGTATTTGTCTCTTTTTGACATAGTGCAACGTAGCATATCACATAAGGTGCCAGATATATCATATCTGTGTACTTTACAGTATTTAAACAGCAAGGACCTCCCAGTAGCTGCACCAGTAACATGAAAAGTCGTGTCCTGACTTCGAGCGCTTGACGACTAGAAGAACGGGCATATAAAAGAACTCTCCCTTCGGTTGGAACCTGTTGGCCATGCATTTTAGAAGGGAGATCCGCACCTATCTCGACTTCTCTCCCGTGGCGGCAGTTGCTGCTTTGTGTTTCTTTGTGAAAGCGGTAAACACACATGGCCGCTTACAGGAAAGCCCACATTCGGTCTTTTTCGGGTGCTAAAATTGTCGAGCATGAGCTCGGGGGACCTCATTGCTCACAACGGCTTCCTGTTAATGCTTGCTAAGCTTGTGCGAAAATAGTTCTCAATATCCATGTCCTTGTATTCAACCGCGCTTCATATATATTCTTGATGTCACTAGTCATTCAGGTGAAGCCCAAGCTCCCCCTCCCCTTCCGGTCAAATTATGCGCTCCGGTCGCCAGATTAACTCAACGCAAAATTGTGTCATTCAAGAATGGTCGCGATTCCAGACGTGGCGATGCCAAACAACTTCACACATCTAGCAGCTCTGTTACTGCTCGTTTCGCGTGTTCTTTCTCAAAATACTATCGAAGTAACTCGCCCTGGTTGTGAAGTGCGGCTGAGTCACGTCCACGTGTACTATTTCTGTACGTTTTACTGATGATCAAATGCATCCAGGCTAACTGCTATCGTGACTTATGCAACACTACCACAGAGCAGTTCCCATGCGGTTGCGGTAATGCAAGCTCAAATGACCTCTTGTATTGCTACGTTGACTATTGCTCGTTCTCAGAGTTTCAAAGTACGTCAGATCATTGGTTTCCATGGATTCACATGAGGCCTAATATTTGAGCACATGTGTGTACAAAGTGATGGCTCACCGGCTAATCATTATGTTGAATCCGACAGTCAGTCGACGCCTATTATTCGACGAATGTGGGTTCAAACGACCAATCGATACATACGATCCGGAATTCACCACGACTTCTATTATTGTCATTATCATAGAGACTCTGTTTTTCATACTACGGCTTGTGTCAAGACTGAGCGGGCTGAGTAAATGGGGTTGGGATGATACCTCCTGTGTCATTGCATATGTTGGTGGTACTCTAATCTAGTCGATAGAGACGGAAAAAAGTCGTGGCTGACATGAGCTGATAGACCTTGTTATTGGGCGAATCCGCTGTTTCTCTGTTGGGTAAGCTTCAACCCTCCCCCCTTCCTCTCCCCAACAACCTCCACCGCGCCTTTCCCCTCCCGGCCAACCCATATTGGGATATTGACTCCAACTGCAGGTGGATATTATGGATTCTACATTCATTCCTGGGATCTCGATTTCGAGAGGTTGGTAAAGTTCCTAAAGGCCAACTTCGCGCGAGCCGAGATCTATCCTTTGGCTTTGGGTGCTTGCAAGATGTCCATCATCTTTTTGTACCAACGCATTTTCGAGGGACCTCGTATCCAATGGGTCCTCAGGGGAACACAAGTCTTCAACATCCTCCTTTCTCTCACCTTCTTCATCACAACTTTCTTTGTCTTCCAGCCGCTGTCCTGTAACTGGCAGGTTGATATGGACAGTAGCTGCGTTGTAAACGATGCCTGGGATGGATCCGGGGCTTCTTCGGCTATCAACGCTGCGTTTGATATCTGGTTGATCCTCGTACCGGCATTTGTAGTGTGGAGACTTCAGATGAAGATCACGAGAAAATTGAGTGTTATTTCTGTATTTGCTACCGGGTTTCTGTGAGTCATTTTCAATCGGCAGCGAAAATACCAAACAGGCGCGTTTCGTATTCTAATATTCTCATGTTTAGAACTTGCTGCGCTGCAATCTTCCGCTTTGTCATCCGGCGTCTTGAAGATCAGCTTTCAAGCCCAGGCAAGTGGCTATGTCCCCCTCGAAAGTTGAAATGATGAGGCCACACACTTGACGCATATAATATTCTAATTCATCCACTAGATGTCTCTAATTACACCAGCCAAAGTATTGCTTGGGCCATCTACTACTCCTACCGTGCCGAGCTCGTCAGCTGCTTCATCATATCATGCCTGCCGGCAGTGAAGCAGCTCATTGAGAGAAAGATTGTACCTTCAATGACTGGGTACACCATCAAACTGTCCTCAAAGATAAAAAGCAGCAAGAAAGATGACACCGAAAATGGAATTCATTCGGACGGGACAGACGAATCTACGCAGGATTTGAAAATTACAACCAAGCCCATTCTGGATTCCCGCAGAGAGGTTAACTGAACCCGACGCTGATTAAGCAGCCTAGAAATACATCCTTACCTGGCGTATATAGGTAGTATACTTGTATTTTGTAGTATAAATCTTATGGTATTTGAAGAAATGTGAGGCTGAAAGATATCCCGGCCCGTTTATGCTAGAAGTCATCTTGTTTTTTAATAGATAGACTGAAGACTAAGGAGTCCGTTGGGAAGCCTCACGCCGACCTCGGCCGGATGCACAAGGGATGTTTTCCCTTAAGCGCAGGAATAGCCTCATCCTGTACTTAGGGGAAAACACCCTGTAAACCATCACCACCAAAGCCAAGACAGGCAAATTTTCTTAGCCAACTGTTTGCCCATAGATAGTGGGGCGGCACCAGACAATGTCAGTTTTCGGTCATTTAAGTGGTCTCGTTTTCAATCTGTACACATATACTTCTTAAGCAATATGCATCCAGTCCCTTCATACAGTGACAAACGCTTAAACACCCAGCGTTTAAAAAAAAAAAAAAAACAATACAATATCGATAACAGTAGGTTTGGAACACAATTATCTATAGCTTGTGGCTAATTCGGTTATTTAAAGGGGACCAGGTCTCCCTATCCCACACGACGAACACGGTCGCGTTGAACAGAGCACATCTGGTCATATTATCTTCTTAGAAGACGAGTACCAATACTCCAGAATTATTCCAGTGAAACCTTTCTACGTACATTGTCCTCGGACTTGAACCAGCGGTCTGAGACGCAGTGTTCATCCCAGCTCCATCCCGCCCCCGCCGATCCTCCCACTCCCGCGCAGAAATTGGAAAAGAAAAGCCGCAGCCATGGGAGACGCACGCCTAGCTACCATATCACAAATGAGCATATTCGAAGCGTCCATCGACGGCCTACAGAAGGGACTTTCATCCGGCGCTATAACCAGCGTCGAGCTCGTCGCCAAGTATCTGCACCGCATCAGCGCACACGACTGCCGCGGGCCAGCCCTCAACTCTATCCCCATCCTGAACCATACCGTCTTCGAAGACGCGGCAGCTAGCGATGACAGCCGCGCTCAAGGACAGCATGTACGGCCCCTTGAAGGTATTCCATATACAGTCAAAGACAGCTACAAAGTCAAGTCCATGAGCGCGGCCGCCGGCTCCCCGGCCTTTCGAAACCCGAAAGCTTCCGAAGACGCCTTTACCGTCGCCGCAATCCGTGATGCAGGTGGCGTCCTCCTCGGCCGCACAAACATGCCGCCCATGGCAGACGGCGGGATGCAGCGCGGCATCTACGGCCGCGCAGAGAACCCATACAACCCAGCCTATCTCGCTGCAGCGTTTGCGTCGGGCTCATCGAACGGTTCGGCCGTATCTGTTGCGACTTCATTTGAGGCGTTTGGCATGGGTGAGGAGACGGTGTCTTCGGGGCGCTCGCCGGCTTCGAACAATGCTTTGGTGGCATATACGCCGAGCAGGGGCTGTGTGTCCATTCGGGGAAATTGGCCGCTGCATCCTACGGTGAGCAGTCTTTGAGCCGCTTCATTCGAGTTGGTTGCTGACGACTCTTACTGCAGTGTGATGTGATCGTCCCTCATACCAGGACGATGAAGGAAATGCTGACACTGCTGGACGTGGTAACTCAAACTGACGAGATTACCGAAGGCGACTTTTGGCGGCACCAGCCATTCATTCACCTGCCGGACGAGCTCTTCCCCGGAAAACCAGATTCATTTCAAGACATCGCTTTCCACCCCACCTGTCGCTCTATGGTCTTCGAATTGCGGTCCCATCAATGTATCTTGGCGGCCCGCCACCTCAAGGTGTTGTTGACCCGCCCTATACTTCTCAAGCAGTAATCGACCTCTGGGAACAAGCTCGCAAGGATCTCGAATTCTCTTGGAGCAGAAGTAGTGGTTGTTTCCGACTTCCCCGTGGTGACAGCCTACGAGAACCCTGCGCTCCTACCAGAGGGCTGTCCCCATCTGCCGGACTCATGGTTTGACGCTGAGCGCGGCCCACTCGTTGCTCGCGCCTGGGATGCCTTCCTTAAAGCCAACGATGATCCTGAGGTTCCTGATTTATCAGAGGGCGACCCTCTAAACATCTTCCCCATGAGAGTGCGCACGGCAGCTGGGCTTGCGTTTTTACCGATGGCCAACGACATTCACTGGACACGCCTCCCCGCTTATGCCAAAGACGCAGGCTTGTACGAGACCGAGGGCCTCGCTGAGGGGCTAAGGGTACTAGAGTCTATTGGGAAATGGCTAGGATGACTATCTTACTGCTAACAACTGTGATTTCTTCGTTTTCCCTGCGGCTGGAGATGTTGGGCCCTCCAATGCTGACGAGGTTGTTCAGGCTGCAGCAGAGGCGTAAGTTGCTAAAATAAACCAAAATTTATATCTCGTGTATAACACAACTAACGTATAATCTTAGGTGGCGCAACGGTGTCAAATACAGCAATGTAAATCAAATCCTCCTTTGCTATCCCTCTTGCAATCCATCCTAGCCCCCTCCTTATACAAACCCAAACACGAATCAGGGTAACCGAGCCTTGCGACACCTCGGCGTGCCAACCGTCTCCGCCCCAGTGGGCCTCATGGCGGACAAGTCCATGCCCGTGAACCTGACATTCGCGGGACGAGCCTACGACGATGTCACCCTACTAAAGTGTGCGACTGCCTACGAGGCCACATCTCGCAGTCGGACTGCACCAGCACACACGCCGCCTCTGTCGTCAGATGCCATCGTGACTGCGGAAGAGTGTACTCACGCAGCGAGGCCTGAATGTAAGCAAAGACCTGCTCCCCAAACCGAATGTCTCGGGGCCATTTGTCCCGATGGCTGACTTTGGCAGTTGCAGTGATCGTCGAAGAGTTCGCAGTATCTACAGTTGAGCCAAAGAGAATCTCAATGCGATGGGTGGTCAAAGTCGACAGGGCAGCACGCGCGAGCCTTGAGACCGCGAATGAATTCCCGCCGTTTGAGCTCACCGTGGATGGCTGCGAGGTGCCATTCGACAATCCCGTGGCCACCAAGAGGTCTGATACTTACGTCTTCGAACTCAGAGACCATGTGGTGCCTACGGTGGAGCGAGTTGCCGTTAAGCCAACCGAGGAACCTGTGGTCAGAGATATGGTTATTGTTGAAGTACCTACGGTATATAAGGCTTGATCCGGCTGACGGATTAAGCGTTCGCTTTTTCCACAGTTATGGTTGTTCTCCTTGCGAGAGCGGTGTTGGGTGGGAGACCGTCTGGGTGGGTTTGGGCTTTTGTAGTCAAATTTAGACCCAATTCGCAATCAATCCCTAGCCTATAACGAGTAGAAAATATTATTATTAACCATACTAAGTCAAGGGATGCCTACGCATTGGTAATTCCTGCCCCTACTCATCCTCAAGGGGCGGATTCATCTGCCCGTCCACACCTGGACGATGGTCCCTGAGTCTTAGGTGTGACTCATTCCTTTCATGACCAGTGCAGTGAACAAGCAATGATATGAAATAATTGTATGCACTAGACTGCGTACAAACCCCGATTGACACGAGCATGGAGGATGTCTGTTCCTCCATATTCAGTACGCGCTTACATAACCAACTCGGACAGCCCGGACACAACCCCTGCAAGCTGCTTCGCCTCTGCTCAGTCATCAAAAACGTCACTGCAGCATGGAAGGCTTCAAACAGTCAACTGTAGACCGGCAGATCGTCTTCTTCACACCCGAGCCCCGGACAACTTTAAGGTCTTAATAACCAAATAATGGCTTCCAATGAGCCTAATAACACACCGCCAGCAGAGGCTTCATCCTCGACATCGGAATCCCAGTCAGCGTACAACGACCTCAAACGCCTGATCCCTTCACTCGCCGCAGAACTGGAACTGCTCAGGACCTCCTTGCGCGAACACAGCCTGTGGCTACTCCGATACGGCCACACAAACAGCCTTCCAGGAGCATCCGCAGCGGGCCCCTCCGGCCAGGCAACAACCAGCACCGCCCAGCCGCCCACCGTGCACCCAGACCAGGACCGCTACATCGAGCCACGGCCCATCCCGCCCCCGCCAGGGCCGCAGCAGCAACCAGCGCAGCCTTCATCGTCGTCGTCGTCGTCATCATCACAACAGCAGCCGCCACCGCCACCGCCCCCGGCCGGCGACCAGGAACCCGAGCTCCCGGGGTACTCTGCCTCGGACGTGCCGCCGTACACGGGCGGGTTCAGCACCGTGTCGGCGTCGACGCGCGAGGAGGTGCGCCAGCGGCGCGACCAGCTGACCGAGTGGCTGCGCGAGGGCGAGGACGTGCTGCGCGAGTACTCGGCGCGGTTCGCACAGCTGGCCGAGGAGCTGGGCCAGCCCGTCGAGGACCCCCTGGGCACCTGGCACAACGCGAACCCGGACAACGCCCTGCCCGACTACCAGCAGGTCGAGGAGCGCGAGGAGCTCATGGTCGGGGGCGTCGGGGAGGTGCCGCCGCCCTATCTGAGCGACAGGCCGACGCCCAAGGGTGGGCAGGGGTGAAACTGCGAGGAGGAGGAAGAATCGAGTTCCGGGTTCTTCGAGGACGGGTTGCTTTGTGGAGTCTAGCGATAGAGCAGGCACCGTCTATGAGCAAGTTGCATGTGCCCAGTGATCTCTATCATCTGGCCGTACGATACCCAATCCTTTCGGGTCCGAGTATCCTTGTCATGCCAATGACCCTATCATACAACGAGTGCATAACACGAACAAGGCGAGAAGCAGTTGGCTGCCAAATCCCCGTGTTAGCACACAATCACAGTGGTCACCGTCAACGATGTCGAGAATCTTCATTTCGCTTCCTAGCGATTTTGATAGAAGCCAAGCCCCCTTGCAGCACCCTATATAGAGTATGTCTCGGGCTGCCCATGTGGACATGAACACCGTTGACCCATCCCTGTCTGACCCTGATGTGCATGATCTGTCTCGAACAAGGACGGAGAAACAGGAAAGAGCAGGCGCGACATGGTTGCAGAAGAGACGAGGCGAGACCCCAAGAGACCGCTGTCAGGCGCACACTTCCAAACACCAGATCTTCAGACACTCATAGAAGAACAGTAGTCAACGTATCTCAACACGCATCAAGCCCCAAAGACATGTTCTTGCCGGTCAACCAGTCGGGAGATACTGTGCCTCACAAGCCCTCGGCTCGGTGCAACGGGCCCCGGGAGCGGGGAGGCATGCAACATCCGTTCCGCAATGGAGCACGGCAGATATTGCAGGCGATGACAAGGACGCTGACAGCGAGGGGCTGTCCAAGGATTCCACAGTGTTCCAAGACACCGCATGCCGCGGGCAGACATGGCGAGGAAGGTCACACACAGCCGACAGGCAGCATTCCGAGACATCATATCATGAGCTCTGTCAGGGACTCATCTGCATCCCTGATCATTGATGACAAGATTGCGTGCTTGCGAACCTTGTCGCCATGGGTGGACCCTGTGCTCGTACAATCCGTGACGGAAGCGTGTCGTGCTTGTGCTCCATATGTTTGCTATTATGGTCCGTGACTACGGCTCACAACCGCAACGACAGTGGCTCAGCCACGACGGCCCCACCGCGAGATGATCTCGTCCCTATTGACATTACGCCCTCTTGCTAGTGCAGCAGCCTCGCTCTCTACGCGCTCAAGCCTGCTTGCGATATTCTGCACTTCCTGCGCCAACACCCCAATGGACGACTCGATCCCTGGATCCACGAGATGTACCTCCGCATATGGGCTCTCCGCGAGGACCGAGTCCCTGATAAGCTGCAGTGCAGCGCGTGCGTCGGCGAGGTGGGTTGTAGCTGCGTGCTCGAACGTCGACTGAACGCTGTCAGCGACGTCAGCTGCCTTTCGCGTGCGCTCGGCCAGTGTTTTAGATAGGAGGGCGGCTTGCGCCTGGGCCGAGGCTGTGGCACTGGCATCCTCATCTTCTACGCCCGGTAGAGAAATTGCCAGGTCCCCCAAGAGGTGTTCTAACGGAGACTCCTGGGATGCGCCACCAGAGGAACGTCTTCGGGATTTTGTGTTTGCTCTTGGACGGCGAGGCGCAGGGGTCATCATGTCGTCTGCTGGCTGGAACCGACGGGCCGGCGATGACAGCGGTGCGACGGTGGTATTAACCTTGGTGATGTTAGAAGCGACCGGCGTCGATATCTCAGCCCTTGCGGTGGCGATGATGGCACCCGTCGCGCTCTCGTGCGCTTTGAAGGATGTGACACGGTCGGACGCCCGTCGGATTCGATCTTGAACATGGTCCAAGCAATCAAGAATCTGTGGTCCGGCGGTCAGAATGAGGATGTTGCCCTCCTTCAATATTCGCCACTGGTCAAGTTCACGCTGAGAGACTCACATATTGAATGGATCCAGCGGCGTGGCTAAAGCCTTGGCCGGTCTTTGCGGATAATGATCTCAGGGAAGGCTCTAACCACTGCTGCTCGACAGACATCTGCGCGACTGGAAGGATCTCCGAGTACAGCGACTCCAGCTCATCTTGCAGCGCTGCAATCTCTTCCTTTGGAGCCTGATTCTCGGATCCCGATTTTGAAATTGACTGCAGACTTTCCAGGTATGTGCGGTCCAGTTTAGTACGGATGCATTCCACGGTGTACTTGATTAATCGGGCACAAATTTCCCGGAGCTGGTCGACAGTTTCGGTCTCCTCGCGATCCTCCGTCTCGAGCTCCCAACCAAGCTTCTGAAGACTGGACAAGAGCTTGTCGTCGGACTGAAGGACTTCATCGACAATACTAGTCAAGTCTTTGCGCGATTCCTTGATCCCCTGGTCGAGTTCCGACATGCGGTAGCCGATCCCTTGTGACAGCAGCTCAACCTGGCTCGTTGATCAGCAAGAAGAGGGATGATCTGGTCAATAGAATTGCTCACATTTGTCCGCAGAGCTTTGCGGGTCGACTCCCACTCGTAAAGCCGCTTGGCCTCGAGGTCAGAGCGAGCATCGCCAGTCTTGCCGCCGGTTGCAATGAGCCGCGAGAGGGCGTTCTGCTGCTGACGTAGAGTTTCGGTCTGCTTGTTTATAGCATCGGTGGAACGGTTGAGCTCTTGGATGGCGTCTATGATTTCCTGGTCCCTGACAGGCTGGACGCTAGACAAATCTGCAGACGCTGCCAGGTTCTCAGCCCTGCCATTTCGCTCGAGAGCCAGGTATCTGGGCTCTGGGTCAGCAGGTACTATCAGGCAGCCACAAAGGCAAATCTGAGGGACGATTACGAGTTCAGCTCGTTTTTTGTGAGCAGCGTGTCCGTCACGAGGTGTGACTTGGCCCACTCGTGCAGCAGCCTTCCCTGCTCCTCGTCTTGAAAGACGGATTCGAGGGAGGACTGGTCCACGGGTACCTCGTATTTCCGCAGCAGATCGATCAAGATGTCATCAGCCATGGTTACTTGGTAAAAGGCAATCAATGCCTTGGTGTCCGCGAGGCTGTTGCTGCGACTCTGGAGAGCGGCTTGACGCGGCGCACTGTGAATTGAGTTCAGAGCTAAGCTGAGTTACAGTGACAAGAGGTGTCTGTCACGCAAGTCATCGGCTTGTCCACATGCGACAGAGGCTGAATGCAGGCTTTCGTTTGGCCTCGTCCCGTTTTAGCAGGCGGGCTTGTGCAAAGGTCCATTCAGGGGACAGACGGGGTGAGCATGAGCGAAGACCAGAGCACAAACGCATCCGAGAGCAGAGAGCAGAAGTCGCGATGATGTTGTTGCATTGACTCCTGTGAACCAATCAGCGCCTCGTTGCCCCTGACCGGCGCCCCACCTTCGCTCGGATGGAGCCGTTGCACAGCAGGGCTGTCTGTCGTTCAGGTCCCGGCAGGAACGTCTGTGCGTTTGTCCTCCGTTGATTGCTTCCAGGCAGCGGCACGTCACCACCACTTCCTGGGCCCGACTGGCTGCCTCCATGAATGGACATCGACCACCGGTCCAGTTGGCTACACACCATGCAAACAGACACATGACGAGTACCTGCAGACCTCGCCCACTCACATTTGTTTGAGCTGCCCCCAGCGAAACTCAACCCGCAGCCCTGGCCCACGTCCACTTCAGGTTGGGCTCGACTGGATCATTTCCTTTGAAGGCTAAGGCAAACAAAGCCCAGGTTTTGTCACTGGCCGTGAGACGCGTCACCAAGAGTATCTTCTTTAAGCCGTCAACCTAGCCCCTGCTCGGCTGTGTGCGTTGATCTGCTGGGCATGCATGAACCGACTTCCACAGCCTCCTGACGGAGAGAGCTTAACAGCACTACTTCACATGCTACCAAGGACTGATGTGACCCGGCAGCTGTTGTACTTTCCACGAAAGACCCCAGGTGCTGCCGCAGCATTTCGACGGCACATAGAGTCTGCTATGGTGGCTGCTCTTACTTTGGGGAGCTCCTCACTTAGCCTCCGGATCTCCGGCCCCGTCTCCCAGGTCTCACCATGAGCATCCGGGCGATGTACTCTGAGCAAAGCGCCTGTGGCGGTGAGTGCCGCCGGGCACTCTGAAATGAAAGGGGGCTTGAGCCCTCACGTGCCGGGACATGCCGCCATGTCACCGGATATCTCCTGCTTTTGGCGAAGGCTCTTCCATCATCGCGCTTCCTCTGCGAGCTTTTCGAAGTGCCATTTTATGCGCTTCTAACGCCGGTGCCAGTGTCATACTGTGTCCAACCCTAATTGCTCTTACATATCCTACAAATACAGCCGGAATATACCACGCCTAAACACTTCTAGCCTCACTACTTCAGCCTCTGACCACGGTTTGCTAGCACTTCACAGATAGATATTCTGGCAGTTTTGCGCTCTACAGGACGGTCTCAGTCCCAATCCTCCTCCTAGCCTGGAAAGTGGCATGAGCACAAGAACGCCATTTCGCTTGTCAAGGGCCAAAATGGACCGAGCAGTTCTGTTGTGCAACTCGCACAGCATGGCATGAGAACAGTACCGTGAGCTAACGAGGCATCTCTGACAGGCGGCAGCAATCACGAGACCCAAATTTAGCCCCAAAGGAAAACACTCAAGAAGTCAAACAGGGGTTCTCCAGGCTAATGTTGCCGTCTACGTGCGGTATTGAAAGACCTAGGGGCCAAAAAAGACATCCTGGAGAAAAGGCACAATCGATTCCCGGCGACTTATCTGATGAATACAACGAGCATCTGGTGGTCGTCCCGAAGCGCTGGTCAAAAGCGAGACACCTGCCTTCTGGTCTTACAGAGGCGTCCGAGGCGTGTCTTTGTCTTCTTGCGATGCCAGGCTGAGACATCTTCCGTTGGCATTTTTTTTTTTCAACGTTTAGGCCCGGATAACTCGTGCTAGAGCCCCTAAAAACTCTCCATGGCGCCATGGGCGATGGAAGTGTTGCTGCGGAGGTACAACAGCCCGGCCGGTCACCGGCTTCTCCTGCTGCGCCGGACAACGAGGACAACTTGAGTAAAATTTCCCAGCCGACAAAACACAAGCGTGCGTATCTGCCTTTGTGTCAAGAATCCATTTCCATACTGTATCGTGTCTGTGGACTCTTTTGTACTTCGACAACAAGTGCTGAAAGCCTATGAAGTAATGGGTGGGCAGGTGGTCGCAGTACCCGGTACGGGTGGCTGCATTTACCTCGTTACAAGTCACTCCTTAGTCCCTCAGCATTACTGGCTATAAGAACGCTGCAGCTCAACAGGCTCCCTAGGGACCTGGGACTACAGACTTGCGGGGCATAATGCGACTCACCGTCTGGAAACAAGCTCTTCATTTTCGTTTGCGCAACCCCCGCCCCCAGCCATTGGCGCGATATCCATGTCTGCACACTTGCAACTGGGCCAATACACTGGAGGTGGGCTGGTCATCGTGGTTGTGCAGGGGACCCCATACAACGACAACCTGAGCTGTACGTTGCGGGATACCTGATGTCCACATTCTTCGTCACTCGTCAGCCCTTTCTTGCCTTGTCGAAATTGGAACTTCGCATGATATCCGCGGCTGCCCTCTCTCGGGTACTGGCAGAGTGGCTCGCCAACTGCCGCCGGATTGCATTTCCGAACGAATGCAAGCTTCAAACCCCTACGGGTGCTCATGGCGTGAGGCTACTGACTGATGTTTCCTGATCAGAGCAAACAGAATTGCAAAAGCCAAGCTGAACACGTCTTATGCCCCCTGCCTTCTTTCGCTGCAATATATCGAAATATTTGCCAGACACGGCTGAATGTGCTGTTGTGGCAGAAGGCCAATGACCAACTACAGCAGCCGTCAGTTCGGGGAAGCTATCTGGGCGTACAACAGACGTCTGTCTACCCCTGAACTAACTTCCTCGGGTCACAGGCAGCGAACCGTAGCATCGGTGCTGTAATGTCAGGCATTCACTGTGGCTTTTGTTCATGGAATGCCAGGCCGGAGACTTTTTGTTGTTTGACCCTGCCACATGCAGTCAAGTTTTAGGCGGGTCTCTCTTCTCCGCCGTCGGCCTCGCTCTCTCATTCGCCCATGCAGTCCTCCCCTATTCGCCGTCCTGGGCTGTCAAGGCTGTCCTTACGCGAGACTCACCGACTTCCCGCATCACGATCGCTCTCCGACAGCACAAGTGGCGAGGTTAGCGGCCGATTGGCAGCCCCGCTCAAGCTTCTGCCCAACGGTGGGCACATCCATATGTTTTGCTTTGTGCCTGAGACATTCGGGAACAGTGATAGAACAAGTAGGGTCGGTAGCGTGTGGCTTCGTGTCGTGGTCGAACGCCGCCTACCACGTCCCCAGGGCCCCTTGCCCTTCTTGTCGCGGATACTCCGAGCAACAAAGACGAGCGAGCTTGGGCAACACGTCACAAAACGCAGCCAGGCGTGTATCCGTTTGTGACATGCATGATGAGCAGGTGGGTAGCGGGTTGGCACTTACGGAACTAAACGTCTCTGCCATCAGAGCAAACAGAAGACATATGCGAGTAATGGAGTGACGGTGAAGTTCCGCGGTCCTTTCTACCTCAACGGAATCAGGTCAACTCTATTTCTCTCTGCACGTCACAGCCGTTTAGTCGGCAAGGCATGTACGATGGCTAAACGTCCAGGTGCATGCCGTGCCGGCCTCGCACCGGACTCGAGCATGAGGAGCAACATTGGACTACCGATGCACGACTTGGGGGTCTGTTCATACGAGTACCATGATAGTACGTCTTGTCCAACACATGTTGCTCCTGTACATGGCATCACTGCATCCACAGGAACGATTGCCGTGTGGGCCCCTTCTCCCCTATATCTATATACGCTGTGCTCTTGTGTTTCTCTATATCTTGTCCACGCTCCCGTTTCCTCAGGCTGCCACAAGGGAGTCTCTCAAGTTTGTTTGTCTTCATTTTATCCAAACATATTGCGTCCTTCACTTCTGTTTCACCCTGAACCTTTCCTGTGGACCGGCTGGGCACTCACTCACCTGTCTTGTCTACTCATGTCTCACTCACCTCGCTGAATGCGAGTCACCTTGATTGCATGCAAGTCAGCTTGATACCTTCCCGCCATCCCTGCCTATCACATATACTCTCACTATATGGCAAGTCGTTGGATGGCTCGTGGGACGACAACCGACAGGGACGCTGGGCGAGAGAAGAATACGTGAAGCATCCATACAATGGTCTCCATCGGGGATGTCTGGAGCAGGCCATTGGCCGAGCCTTCACAGAACCTCAAGCATTACTACAATATTCTTGTGGCCGTCGCGTTCTTTTTTGTGGCCCAATTACTCATATGCGTGTGGGACCAGTCGTTCTGGGCCACTGGTGTTGAATTCCCGGGCCAGATTGTTGCCATGATATCTGTGTGGCTTACCGTCTGGGCTGGCCAGGTGCTTTTCTCTGAAGCCGGCGAGGGAGTAGACGGGTTCTATCACAGATTTCTCAGGGCCCCAGTGAGTGGGAATATTTTCTGCTAATCCGGTATCTGTATCTAAGAAAGAAACCTATGCTGACATCTGCTTTCGATAGACGGAGATCCTCAACAAGCACATGTCCATCGGCTTCACCGTGCCATTCTTGAATCTGATTAGCCATTCACTCGCAAACGCCAACCAGGTTGGTCTGCTCATAGCAGCATTTGGTGCGTTGTTCAACTGATCAAATAATATCTCGCGATTGGCTTTCAGGGACCAGGCCCCAGAACGACCTCGGCTGACAGCTTGTGACATTGTACAGTTGCGACGGGCGTACTGAACTCCATCTTTGTGTACGTCGTTGCATACCACGTGCAACTGACGACCGCGAAGATTACGTGCTGCCTGCGGCGCCGCCCTGTCCCGGACATCGAGGCAGCACGAACGCAAACAAACTTTGCGTGCCCTGAACCACCACAACGGTTTGCCCAACGCGGGTCCATGCGTCATGGCGGTGGATTTGCCAATGCGAATTTGGGAAACAGCACAGAGGAAGGTTCGCGCCGGGATCGCTCTCAGAAGCACATCAGTGACACATCGACGCTGTGCACCGTGTCTGGTTATGTGAGTGATCCAAGCGGCTTGAAAGCGGCGTGCGGGAGGGATATACGCGATTGCAGTGAAAATCAGGATGATCAAAACTGGCCCAACCTCAGCCAATTGCGCCCTCGGGGCGGACATGACGCATCGAGCACGGGTGCAGAAACATCACCATTGCGCACCTCACCGCCCAGCAGAGTCACGGGCATGGTCTACACGTGGCTGTCACAGAACGTCTTTCTCGCACTGTCGTTACTGATCTTACTCCTCGTCGGGCTCCCTGTGTCTTTTTTCCAGCAAAATGACCTCTATCTCGACGTAGGCTTCCTCTTCACCGTCTGGTTGACTTTCACTTCAGCCCAAGTGCGCACCAAACAGCATGTACACCTCGACAACCATCACAAAAAGGCCCTCACAGCTGTGGCGACACTGCTTAATCCGGTGCTGTGGACCTCGTTGTTCCTCGTCTGCTATGGCCTGGCAAAGTCCAGCATCCGCAACCAGCCCAGCGCAGTCGTGATCGCCGGCTTCACCACGAGGAACACGGTGTCGGACCTTATCGCGCAGCATTTCGATTCCCCAACACCCACGGCCGGCAACGGCCCCCGCCTGGGCTCCCTACCCATCGGCGCCGGCGACGTGGCAACCTCCATCCTCAACGCGGGGATTGTGTCGTGGGGCCTCAAGCTGTTCGAGTACAGGCACCAGATCGTCTCGTCCGGCGGCTTCACCGTCGTGGTCACCTCGCTGCTGGCATCGCTGCTCAATGTCGTGGTCTGGCCCCTCCTGGCCTACGCGATCGGCGTTCGCCCGGCCTCGTGGGACCTCAGCTTCGCGGCGAGGAGTGTCACCATCGCGCTGGGCGGGCCGGCTTTAAAGAGCCTTGGCGGCGACGCCGGCATCAACGCTGTGGGCGTGGTCGTCAATGGGGTCTGTTTCCAGCTGGTTGCTGGGTTCTTCTCTGGGGGCGATGGCCTCGCTGCAGTGGCTGGCAGGTTCAAAAAGGCATTGGTACATGATGGCTGGTCTGGACTTGTCTGGAATAGCAGGGTGTATGAGCAGCGCGAGATGGAGTCGCTGGCGCCATCTCCGGATCGTGGAAGGGCCGCAAGTGAAGCTCATGTAGGAGGAGGGTTACAACCCAGTCACGAACGCGAGGTGAGGTACAGCTCTGATGCGACGCACGTCGACGAGCAGCGGCCGGACGACCAGAACGATGTAAGCAGTTGGGGCACAACCGGCACCGCGGCGAACAACAACGACAACATGAAGATGCGCACCGAGCCGAGACAAGCTCATGACGGACCACAAGCGCACGAGGATGTCGCCCCCGGCCCATTGTCCGTGGTGCCGACCGTGGCAGCAGGCGTGACGATTGGGATCAACGCCGCGGCAATGGGGACTGCCCACCTGTACGAGCAGAACAGCCACGCGGCGCCGTACTCTGCGCTGTCGATGACCATGTTCGGGGTGTTCACGGTGCTGTTCGCCCTCCGAGGCCCTATGACTGAGTGGCTGACCAGGACGGTCGGCGGGGGAGAGATAGAAGCGGCGATGATGTTATGACATGGACAAAGACTGAATGATATGCCTGAATGGCATTACCACGAATGATGTTGCACAAAAAGATTTGGGCCACGAGCGGACATCTTATGTTGCTTACGAAAATGATGGCTGGAGAGATAGAACTGAGCATGCATGACTGGCGGATGGGATGGCATATTTAGGAATGGGCCAGATACCCTGCATAGAGACATAGACTTGGGATTTGGGTCACTGGCGCTACGTGAGCAAGGGACTATGGGGAGCACTGAGAATTTGGTATGTCAAGGTAGCATTTACACTGCAGGTTGACAAGTGCCAGCAAAGGCTGTCAGCCGCGATCGCAGCACGAAGATAAATGCCAATGTGTGTAGCGTTGATGATACTCATCTTGGTCATGACCAAAAGAGAATCATATGTTCTTTTTGGGACGTGTCGTCACACCTGATGCTGCTGACGGAGCTTCGGCCGAGGGACCATCCCTCTGTCCTCCTCGCCCATGGTCTCAATAGATTGTCAAGATTGTCAAGTCATGTCAAGCCGTTGCGGCTGAGCGCCTTGCGCCCATCAATGGCGCTTTTCCTCGCCATGCAGTTTTGGCCCCCGCTGGTCCTAGACCCCTAGTATCTACTCCAAGCGCTCGATCAAGTGCAAGCCACTGGCCGTGTCTACCACACCCGAGATGTCGCCGGGCTGGAGCGCGAATGCGGCGTCCTCGAACTCCTTCTGCATGTCACCGCGGCCGAAATACCCCAGATCACCCCTCTTACGTGCGCTGCTGCAGTCGGACTCGGTCACTGCGAGGTCGCCGAGGGAGATCTCGCCGCTCTTGATGCGCTCCTGGTGGGCTTCGATGATCTTCTGTGCGTCTTCCTTGCTGCGGGTGATATTTGACTACAGGCCAGAGAAAATGTGTCAGCTCTTGTCCTCTTTCAGGCGCGGGTGCGCGTCACGCTCGTCTTGTGCCACCCTGCCAAGGCCCTTTCACCATACGGCTCGGCTGCCTAGATGTGCTCACAGCCGCAGAGATCAATGCCGTCAGCTGATCCCCGTGGGCAGGTACAAGCCCCGAGGGTCCAGCCAGCAGCACTGCGTGCGACGTGCACCCGTCCTCCTCCGCGCATGCGGGCGCATCTATGGTAGCGACCAAGAATGAGCAGCATAGTGTCTCTCCCGGCCCACGTACCTCTTTCCAGCTCATTGGCCTCCTGCTCTGGTTGTGCTTCACGAGCAAGTGGGCGGCCCTGATCTTGCCGGAATCAGCGCCTCCCCCGCCGTTGTTGGCGGCCCCGGACCCGGCATTGGGGCTGTGGAACTTGGCCATGTAGACCTTGAGCTTCTCGGTGTCTGTTCCTGGTGGGGGCTCCCAGCGGGAGTTGCGGTCGTTCGAGTTGAAGTAGTAGGGCAGGTTCTTTGAGTTGCTGTGGCGGACCTCCCAGTTGGGAGGGAGGCCGGTTTCGGGCTGGTTCGCGGACAGAGGCGTGTTAGCGGGAACGATCAGTCAGGCACGTAAGGGGGCGAGTACGTTGAATTTGGCTGCTGAGAAGACACTCGACTCGAACGTAGTTTACATCACTTCAGAAATCAAGGGCGACATCGTAGGTTTCGAGACGCTGCCTGTTCTCTTCACTCTCGCCAAAGTAAACAACGCGGGGCAGGGAGTGAGAAGTGGCGGGGCTTACTTGAGTGTCTGCCATGTTTAATGACCTTGTCTGTAATGAGTGCAAGTAATTTTGTGTTTTAGACCCGTGACACAATGGTGATTTCCAAGGGAATGGACGACTTATATGTGTGCTGTCGAGGTTTGGGGGACGAGGTGACGGTGGTCAAAGGGCGGGATGAGGATCGAGTTGGAGGTGAAGGTCAAGGTAAGTATCCATGGGTGGGATGGGGATGCTGGCGAAATGTCCACTAAGCCGCCTGGAGGTTGTCCAAGTGACGTGCAGGGAGTGGGTCCCGGCAGCGCCTTCCAAGGTCTGACTGGCCGGGGAGAGCTGAGGCGGGGGGCGGGGGCATCCTGAGCTCCAAACCACCAATTGCTGGGGGGAAGCTCGCGGCTCGGGCTGCCCCTGTGGGGGAGGACAAGATGACCTGCCAGCCCGCCCCCCTTAGATGCCAAGGTGGGTGGGTGCCCGCCCTGCAGCTTGGGTTACCATACCTATGGTGCTACTGTTGATTAGGCACAAGTGCTACTGCAGCCGCGAGGCACTCACCTATGGCTTCGTGGCTCCCGCGTGGGCTGGGTCGGCTCGATCAGAAGCGTCCAATCCGTGCTGGGCATCTGTAGTAGCAGTTATGCAAGCGCATCTTCGGTCGTGTGGGAGGCACTCTACCTGACGGAGCACCATGTAGGAACGGCATCACGGGACCCTTCCAAGTCCCTATGACGCCAGGTACCTACAGAGGAGCAAAGTGCGAGGACCGCGCACTGCACAGCACCATGCGACGCCCGGTTTCAAGTTGGCGCAGTACAAAGCAACAAAGATAGAGTTTGGTCACGCAGGGTCGTGTAGGTTGTGTGGCGACTACGGATGGGCACAGCACACCTTGGACAGGACGGCGGGAATAAGTCATGGGCCATCGTGACCTCGGTCCCCCGCCTGCCACCGACTGTTGCCGGCCTCTCTCTGCCAGCTCCCACCTGTCTCCTATTGTATTATTTATTAGGTGTGTTGTGTGACACCACATCGAGACAGGCTCAATCTGTGATTATGGCACCATAACCACGCCGAGGCTTTGTTGGGCGCATCTGTAGTCTACGTAGTCGATTCTGTATGTGTATCCATAGGTCTCAAACCCAGGGGACAGTCATGCCAGGCGACCTAGCTAGGTGCTCTTCCGACGAAATGTAAGGCTGATATCACATTCCAAATCTTAATAGGTGGTGATCCCGTGCAGTGTGGTATTGGCTGCTGCTGGACAGGGCCTTCGTCGAGCGCTCTATTATGCACTAGGAATGCGGAGCGTCTTCTCACCAAAGTCTCTTTCCCTTAGTTAGGCCTATCGAAGAAGAAGAAGAAGGTAGAAAGAAGATGGAGGTCTCTAGACTGTTGAGAAGTTCTTCAAAGCAATGCGTGTTGGCAATCTGTTCTGTTCGCAAGTGCAATTGTTTCAGTCCACGAGTTGAACTCAAGCCAACCGTACTGACACCAGGCTTGGGCAATGGTGGAGCATCGACCGTGGAAAACACGCGATTGTCTCGATAATAAATAAAGGACACTTGCCTCTCCAATATCACCTTTTCTTCCTCACACCCAACAGAAGTCAAGACTGTTCTCTTCCCTCTCTTCCTTTTTCCGATCTCCGACAAGCAACAGACCAGAATCAGCGCTGGCCCAGGACATCAACTGACCAAAGTCCCAAGACAAAGCAGCCCCCGCCCCACCTACTCTTGCGATCGCCGTCTGATTCGTCACGCGTAATCTGGGTACCTGAAGTACACACTTGACCCATTGCCTGCCAGCCTGCTGAGTAGGCCGCCAGCCGCCTGTCTTCCCGCTCTGCGCCGATCCAAAACACTGCATCCACCTGCTTTCGGCTCCCCTGCCCTGCCTACCCACCTGCCATCTTCAGTCGTCCATCAAACAAACATTCAAACATTTTGCCAACTCCAACCCGCAAACCCACCACAACATCACATCGAGGCGAATCTTTCGACATACCTCCAAAGCCCAACAAACACCCCCACAAGATCTCGCATTTCAACTCGACATCGCAACTGCCTTTCCGATCGACAACATGTCTTCCCCAAGTTCGCCCAACGCCAACGCGGGCGCCTCCAAAAACTCGTCCGAGCAGGTCACCTTCAAGTTCTGCCCCGAGTGCTCCAACATGCTCTACCCGAAGGAGGACAAGGACGCCCGCCGACTCATGTACACCTGCCGAACCTGCCAGCACACTGAGGAGGCCACTTCCAACTGCATCTACCGCAACGTCCTGAGGAACACGGTCGGCGAGACTGCTGGTGTCACCCAGGACGTCGCCTCCGATCCCACGGTTGGTGATGCCCCTCCTACGTCTCCCTCCTCCAACAAGAAGTCTGCCCTTGTCATCTGTGGCTGCTGCGGCCAGGTCATCATGTGCTCTGATTGTGGACTCCACCCCGCCGTCGTCTCCGGCGACGACCAAAACGACGACGACCTCCCTTCCAGCCCGCCCGAGACCTACCAGGAGGAGCTCCTCGAGCAGATGATCGTTGACGAGGATGCCCTACCGCATGATGAACAACATCGTCGACATGGCCGGCCTCATGGAGCTGGACGAGGACATGGATGACTGGGAGCCCGAGAACGAGCCTGCAGCTGTGAAACAGGATGTTCACAGCAGTCCCAAGAAGGCTGTCGCTGCCTAGGCTGCGCGCACTCGATCGCCACGCGAATCAAAAACACACCATTCCACCATTATCGAACATGTTGTCACATCGTCGAACATGTTGTCACCATGTCGTCCGCAACTCTGTCTCATCTGCGCCCCGTTCGGCCGGTCGACTGGCCACGCATGTCCATATATCAGAGCACAACTGGCCCAGCAGTCAGCAGGACAGAAGATGACGGTGTTTGCAAAGCGGGCTGTCTTTGAGAGGATGAAGACATATCTTGTTCTCTTGGTTCAAGAACCTGCTGCTGACGTCTCATCTCTGTACAACAGCTTCCTCGTGCCAATCGGCAGTGCCCATCATGTGGCCACAATGAGGCGGTCTTCTTCCAGTCCCAGCAACGGACCAGAGACACGGGAATGGTACGTCATGATCAACCCCACAACCCGTGCTTTACCAATGCTTTGTTTGAATTGTTTCTAACATCTTTTTCTTGCGCCATATAGAAATTGTACTACGTCTGCTGCGAGTGTGGTGAGATCTACCAGTAGTTCTGGGCTGATCTACCCAACGATGCTGCGAAGCTATCTTCTTCCCTCGACGGTGCGTCCGAGCCGCTTTTTTCGCCAGCGTTCGCGGGCTCCTTCGATGAGGCAAAAGACCGCCAGGGAGGTCACGACAGCAACAACGGGAAGCAGGGAAGTGCATCAGGGTCCGGAGTTTTGGTCAAGGTTCTGGAAAAGGAACCACCATGTGTCTACCAGTTTAGAGAGTAGCTCGGCGTTGGCGGACATGAAATCCACATACGGATCAAGGAAATCAAAAATAATACTTATGGAAAAACAACATTCTACACGAAGCTCTGCAGTGATCTTATGTTGTGGCGCACGTGTTGTGCCGGTATCTCAGTTCTAATTTTTTTTACTTCTCTGCTCTACAAGACGCCGAGCAACGCCTTCCGTGATGCCATGTCTCTGGCGTCCCACGCATGCCGCACAAAATAATACAGCTGATTCATCTTCTTCAACCATGCCTTCTCTGCAGGATGCCTCACCGAAGAGGCTATCGTCCGGACCACTTATCATCCTTTCTCCTTTTCCTTAGGAACAGCCTCCAAGCCGTGGTAGGCAGTTCCCCCCCTGTCTTCCCGCGAGCCGGGGCGGCCGCGAGGAGGACTCGGAGGCGAAGCAGGCCTCCCGCTGTACACCGCCGGCATGGACCCTTTATTCCGATATCGATTCCGCGCATCCTCCCGCCCGCAACAACCACCGCCTATGCGTGCATGGAGGCCATGCTGAGGATCTTGCTCCACTTCTTGCGGCGCAGCTCCGCGCCGACGACGCCGTTGATGCGGGAGCCGATGGGGTCGCCGGCCTTGTTGATGAGGACGCAGGCGTTGTCGTCGAAGCGCACGACGCTGCCGTCCTGGCGCTGGACCTTGTACTTCGTGCGCACGACCACGGCGTGCCGGATGTCGCCCCGCTTGACCTTGTTGCCCAAGGCGGCGCTCATGCCCTCGGCGTTGGCGCCGCGCTGCTGCTGCACCACGCACACGATGCGGTCGCCGATGCTGGCGTGGCGCTTCTGGCCGACCACCATGGCGCACTCCACCAGGGCGGCACCTGAGTTGTCGATGCAGTTGAGCATTGACTATTGGAGGGCGAAGGACGGACGAATTAGCTTGCCTGTCTGTATAGACTTGTCGCATCTGCTCCGGCGAAGGGATCGGCTGGGGAGTGAGGGGCTGATGCTCGCTCTCACCTTTAGTTGGATCATCTTGACCGTCTTCTGCCCCCACGACCGCGCTCCTCGTACTGGTGTGGTGTGGTGTGGTGTTGCTTGACACGACGCGAGTGCTTGGTCTGGCGTGGGATGCGTGGATTGATCGGCTGCTCTCAGAAATTCTGCCGGGTCCGGGTGAGGGCGGCGAGCAACGGGCGGGATTGGACGAGCTTGAGCTTGTCGTCGGGGACTGGGGGCGCCGGTGGCCCGAGCAAGCAAGTGAGCATCAGCTTCGAGTCAAGGCGGGCTTGGGTCTACCTCCAGTGTACGGCAAGAATTCCCTTCCTCCTCATTGGCATCTTCTGCGCCCCAAAATTCTCCGCCCGCCGAACGGACGACTCGACGCTGTCTCTCTTCTGCAAGGGCAACGATCGGCAGGCCTGGGTCTCCAGCTCGGGCCGCCTCCAAATGAGTTGACGTCGCACACACATGCCATGTCGCATCTGGCTGCATGCGCCATGCGCATGTGCCTTGTCCATGTCCGGAGAAGTCGCTCAGTCCAAAGCTTGCTGGACCCGTCCGTTGCCCGGCCACTGCATTTTCCGAGACCATTTTGCAGCCGCAGCGTGATGATGATTGATTGAGCTGATGACCGCCCAGGAGCCAAACTCAGCTCTGGTAAGATTATTAGTTTGGTTTGTGCATCTTACTCTACTTTGTCCCTGGTCAGATTTCCTATCTCCCTGCTCTGGGTTCATCCAAACATTGCCTGTCCTTCCCGGCAAATCTCTCCTTTCTGCATCGAGTCGTGGTCACATCCCCCTCTTCGATGATCATGCGAGTGGGAAGAGCATCACCACTATCGTCTTGTTTTTGTATTTCCCGTTGCGACTAGCCGATAGGTAGGAGCTTGAGTATCCTGTCCTGTTCCATCGCCCTCTCCTTCCCGGATCCGCCATCCCTGACTCGATTCGCTTGACGGCAAACAATACGTTGCAGTAATCTTTGTTGTATGTCTTCGTGACCCCCAGTTCCCGCTCACTTTCTTGCTCCTGTTTCGCCTGTTCTCCCGTTCTCTCCCTCCCACCACTCACCGGTCACCAAGTCCTTGGTCAATTCCGTTTTATTGGGACTAGTATGTACGTGTGTATCATGCAGAAAAGCACAGCACTCAATTTTATCCTTGTTCATGACGACAGCGGCTGTTCAAGTAGGGCCTCAAATCTCAATTGATTGCCGGCTTTTCATTCCTACGAATGACCACCAGCAGCACCAGCAACAACAACAACAAAACAACAATTGTGTCCGTCCTGTGTTCTGACTTCATGTGCACTCTAGGGACTCGGAATTCTCATACCAACACCACATACAAGCCTGATCCAACCACGCACGACTCAAACCGGCCCAGCCCAGCCCAACCCAAAAACCGACGCACTATCAAAGTGGCAGCCACCACACCACTCGCATAGTCCGCACACACGACATCTGGACTATTCCCGACTCAGAGTGCGCTAGGTTAGGGAAAGGACGCTTGTTCCCGTCCTCCTTCCTTGCCCTGCCTTGGCTGCTCTTCCCTCACTCTACTCCGTACCTCCCCCTCCGCCCTTCCTTCCTTCTCAGCCGCTCTTCCTCCCAATTACGCTCGCCCACCGCGAGTGCGTTCTTGGAAGAGGCCGGCTGAATTGCCTCTCCTGTCTGTTCCTCTGTGCTACGGTACTCCGTCCACCCAATTCACTCCACTCCACTCCGGCTTGACCGTCCCGGGCTCCACTCTCGCACTCCCGCTTGCAGGCGCAGTTGAGGGAAGGATCATCTGCAGTCTTGCGTCCACTCATTCATTCGTTGTCACATAATTTGCGACCAGCGCGTACTCCTTCGACCCAACACACAAGCTGCGCGCGAAACGCTCGTCTACCAACTCGCCGTGGCCTCTCCCGAACGTCGCACGACTCTTGCGCAACCAGCACGGCGTTCGTTGCCAACTGCTCATCTGTCAAGATGCCCAAGATGCCCAAGATGCCCGGCGCATCGAGCAGTGCAAAGAAGCACACGCTGACCTTGGCGCAATTGTCCTCTTACGATGACATGCTCACAGATGCCCTTGTCGATCGGGTACGCACCAACCAAGTCTCCCCTCCCTGGAAGATTCTGCAGCATGAGAGATCGCATTGAAGGCTAACCTGCCTACAGGCCTGGTACTGGACCACAATTCCCAAGAATCGAACCTCCTACCATCCCTCGCGAGGTGTCAAAGAAGACGAGATCAGCAAACTCATTCAGAACCATCTAATTGTCACCCCCAATGTCGACCTCGCCGAGGAGAAGTTGCTTGCGACAGACGGCCTCAGGAGGTTTTACAACGCGCTGAAGACCTCCCACGAGAAGGCCGACTTCAAGCAACACCTGCGTCGCTACATGCAGATCTACCTCCCCGACTGCCCCTTCGAAGTCAGCAGCACCAACCGATACACAGTCACCACCCACGAGGCCTCTATCGTTGCGCGAAGGCCCATAAAACGAAACGAAACAGTCAAATACCTCTCGGGAATACAGGTCGTGATCACGCCAGAGGAGGAGGAGGTCTTGTCTTCCCGGAAGAAGGACTTCAGCATTGTCGTGAGCAGCAGGAATAGGATGGCTAGCCTGTTCATGGGTCCTGCGCGCTTCGCCAACCATGACTGCGGTGCCAACGCCAAGCTTGTGATTACTGGTCAGGCCGGCATTGACATTGTCGCAATCCGGCGCATTGATGTGGGAGAGGAAATCACCGTGACATACGGCGAAAACTACTTCGGGGAGAACAACTGCGAATGTCTGTGCCAGACTTGTGAGAACAACCTGGCCAATGGCTGGAAGCAGCCTGACGGCGTTGTGCCCGTCAAGAAGAGCATAGAAGACGATCTACTGGCATTACAGGGCTATAATACTCGTGGAAGACACAGATACGGCAGGGGAGAATCGAGCTCTAGGACACCCTCGGTCACTCCTGACCTGCGACCAAAGGTTCTCAAGGGAAAGTTGAAGCAGTTGCGTACAGCCGACCGGGCCTCCACCACCGAATCGAGCCTGGCCGGAGGATCAGACACGGGGTCGAGGCGCAAGCGAGGTCGGGAGAGCCTCGCAACACCTCCTGTTACTCCCGCAAAGAAGCAGAAGACGACCAAATACGAGATCAGGCCTGTTCCTAGCCTTGTCGCAGACCGCAGCGGTAGCTCCGATGCTGAGTCTGGTGGCCTGCTCTCAAGGTCTGATTCCTCGAGCGGAGAAGCGGTGCTCACGGATGTTACGACCCCGGAAGACACAACTGACTCCGCAACCGTGCCATCTGAGCCCGGGCAAGTCGCACAGGCCATAGAAAACCTGAAGCAAGAGCAAGATGCGGTAGACTTGGCCTCAGATGGCCTGCGGGAGGTTGCCCCGTTCGTGGAATCCGCGAGCGCTCAGCATCCATCGATCCCGCTACTTCGTACACCACAACCCCCGCCGAGAGCACGCGGCCTGTCCATTCACGATATTCTCAATACCCCTTCAGACGCAGCTACACCTGATACCCGATCCCCAATCGACCGATTTGCCGCTGCGTTTGGCGCCCAGAACTCCGCCAAGCCGGCTGGCAGCAATGGTGGACAACAGGTCGAAGACCAGCAGGTCGGTGTGGTTGAAGAGCCCGTCTCACCGTCTCCCGTCATCATGCAGGATCCTGAGGAAGCCGCTGATTCAGTCGAGACTTTGGCAACTGCAGGAACTACTGCAAAGCGCGGTCGTGGACGGCCTAGAAAGCACCCAAAGCCCGATGCCAGTCCTGTTCTGGAGAAACCCGTAGTCATCTCACCACCTGCCCCTCCAGAGGACGATCTGAGTGAATCTGATTCGCCAGCGCCTTCGACCGGCCCTGTCACCTACCGCGAACCCGGCGACTACCAGCTCACTCCCCGCCTTCTTGCCGAGCCAGACATGGCCTGGGTGCGCTGCTCCAACTGCACCACCGCATTTGTCCAACAGAACGCCTACTACACCCGCTCCTCGTGCCCGCGCTGCGAGCGGCACTCGAAGCTGTACGGTTACATCTGGCCGAAGACGCAGCCTGAAGGGCCTTGGGACAAGGAGGAGCGCGTGCTGGACCATCGAACCGTGCATCGGTTTCTTGCTACGAGCGACGAGCTGGTCGTGCGAGGCAGATGGACACATACGCAAAGCAACACCGGCACGCCGAGAAGAGACGAGAGCGAGGCGAATGTGAAGCGAGGCAGAGGAAGGCCTGGGAAGAGGTCTTCTCTTGCAGAAGAGCGGCACCATGACGGGGCAGACCAAGAGCGTGCCAGTGTGGTGGATCTCGACATTAGGAGGAGCGTGAGGACGCGGAAAGCCAGCTTCAAGGTCGGCGCTTGTTAGAAGCTTGAATGGCCGTTCTCGGACCAATTCTGATGTCTAGCGCTTCTTGGGCTCGACATTTACATCCATGTGTCTAGGATTCACCCGGCCAGACGCTCAAAAGGTCGAACTCGCCGTCTTTCATGAGGCGATCCAAACATTCCAACTCGAATACCAACAACCGGCTCTTCAATTTGAGCTACGTCCTCCTGGCTCCATCAACACAGCATCTGGCACTGCTGATAGTGAGAGGAAAGAGGCTGTTGTGGCTGTGGCTGGCGTTTGGAATTCCTTAGTCGTATTGCATTGCACGGCGTCAGCGTTTTGCTTCATTACAATCGGAAGGCGCCATGTCGGCCGACCCCATATTATGGCGAGATGCATTGTAGCCCGTCTGTAAATATTACCTAGCTGTCAATTGCATTTTCTGGCCAAGTCCTTGCAAAGTGTCACACTGCCTGGACAAGTCGCACCTATTCTATGCTTTTGCACGCCTCGAATCCGCCCATCAATATCTGGCATTACTCACCTGGCCGAACAGGGACTGAGATCACCGGAATGCTCAAGGGAAACTTCTATTTAAACTTCATCTAACATAGACCATTTTCTACAACGCTACCTCAATCCGGCGCTACGTGAATCTGCCAATACTTGCGCCACGGCTTCGGCATCCCCTGGTTGTGCCCGGGGTCATACTCCCTGCTGGCCGCGCCGCCGTCCTCCCTGTTCCTCCCGGACAGCGCCAGCACGCCGCGCCGCTCGCCCGTGTGCTGGTAACGCACGAAGTCCCTGGTGGCGAGGACGTACTGCATTATCCCGTCGCGCGCGTCCATGCTCGAGCCCGTGGCCCACGACAGGAGGAGCGGCTCGAGCAGGGGCGCGTCGGTGATGGACGGGTGGGCCGTCCCCAGGGAGGTCAGGAACCAGCCTCCGCCGGCCCCGCCGTGGCCGCCTTTCTTCTTCTCGTCATTGTCTTCTCCTGAGTCGCGCGCTCCGGTGTGAGTCTTGTTGTTGACGCCGTCCACGATGTCCCGCACCACCTCGAAGTGCGGCCGCCCATAGAACAGGGCGGGCCCGGGCTTGCTCCACGTGCTGCTGTGGCAGATGGCCAGTGGTACTGAGATGTCGGCATTGAGAGGCCCGCTCGACTTTCCTGGGTCTAGGATCACGGCGCCAGAGGAGGGGAGCCTTGATTCGCGGCCCGGGCTGGATCGCAGGGCGCGTAGGGCGCCTGTGCCCCCGTAGGAGTGGCCGGCGATGGTGAGGTGAGTGGTGTTGAGGCGGGCCTTGAAGCTTGACATGTCCGTGTTGCGCGGCTGGCGGGGGTTGGGGACGGGCTTGGAGGAGGGCCCCGAGTCAAGCGTGCGAAGCACGTTCACAGTGGCCTCGATCTCGGCCTCGCGGAAGGAGAGCTGGGCTTCTTTCAGGGCTGGGGTGTCGAACGTGTCGCCGCCCTCTGGCGGGGGCGCCAGGTCCTTGAGACCAAAGGCGTACCTCCACCGGGGAGCTGCCTCCTCCCCTGGCTTGATGATCGGGCTTGCAGGCGACGAGCCATCGCGATGCTCGATGGCCGCGACGACCACGCCGCGGCTGGCTAGCTCGCCCAAGTAGTGTGTGTAATCTGTCCTAGAGCTGAGCATGCCGTGGGTGAAGATCATGACGGGTAACTTTTGCCCATCTTCGTCTTCATCTGCTACACTTCCCAGTTCCCCTCCGGTGCCGTTGATATTCAAGAGCTCAGCTGGTGGGATGAGAGGCGCGCCGACCTCGGCTGGGATCTGGATGCCGCTGGCCACGAGCCACAGCCCTCCGGTGAGGACGCCTCTGAACAGGAAGTTGTCCATCCCGAGGAAGCGGGCGTAGCCCTTTGCGGTGGCAGATACGGGCTTCGGGAACCAGTAGTACTTCTCCGCCGCGGAACCCCTGGCCTTGTGCGATGTAGGGTAGTAGAGCGTGAACAGCACCGTCTCGACCTCGAAGGCATAGTCGCCGTCCGATTTCGACTTGAACCTGGCATCGCTGACCCGCCTGGGTGTCTCAAGCGGATACTCGACATCGACCGCCCCAACGCGATATGGCCCGGTGTATCCGGGGAGCCTGTTGGAGAGCAGGGGCTGTGATACCAGGACGCGGTACGTCACCCAAAGCGCGGCGATGGAGAAGAGGACGTAGCGGAAGGTGAGGCGCGGCCGGAGGAGGGGTAATATCACTGGCGTGAGACGGTGTATGGCCGCTGTGGTCCACTTGGTGACAGTGGGCAGGAATTCATGGCGGATCCGGCCGAGCGTTGTTGTATGAGAACCTGATCCCGATGGTCTCATCCATTTTGGGATGCCGTTCAGGTAGCGATCCTGTGGTGATGACATGTGGGAACTTATCAGGACGTCGTCCTCGAGGCCCAGCTCCGTGCTTGATATCTCGTCGAACGGCTGCATATTTCGCACATTATTAAAAAGGACATCTTCTTAATAGACTAGCTGGTCCAAGGAAAAGCGATCGGGTTTCAAGGAGACGGGCGTCGTCATGTCAAGCCGCTGGTGGCGAATAAGTGGCCATGTAGCCCTAACCCTGAACAAGGCAGCTACAAGTGGGTATGAACAGGGCACGAGGAGGATTCCGGGATACAAGCCAAAAAGCAATGTTCAGTGAATTCTATGACTTATTGCTCTAGTTTATCTAATATGAAAAATTTTGCACATAAGCTAAAGAAGCATTGTGTTGTGGGCATCCAAAGACCACATGTTGCTGGTGCCTACAGTGCCAATACAGCGGACACCGGGACGGACACCGGGACAGACACACAAGCATGCACTTGATACAATGCCTCAAGTTTACATATCAACAAACAAGAACAATTATACTACAGTAAATAATGGGGCAGATAATTCACGGCTGTCGGATCCCCCATGGCCCCAGTGCTTCTAAACACGGCAGAGCTTGCCGGAGTCCAAGTCGTAGTCCCAGTTCTCACTTCCAACGCCCGACAGGATGTACAAGGTTTCCGTTGGGTCATACTTCTTCTTGATAGCCAGCAGCTTGTCATAGTTGTCACCATAGAATGTTTTCTGGAAGTCGCTGGTATAAGGGTTTCCCTCGTTCAAGTACGCCCCGGAGCCAGGGCTCCACTCCCTCCACATGGGCTCCTTCACCTCCTCATACTACCACTCGGCAGCCGCCTGCAGCGCGGCCTTTGGCGAGCCAGACTCGACCGAGTCCACGCTGGCCTAGGTGGCGATGACGTGCAGGTACGTGGAGCGCCACGCCGGTAGTAGCGCGCCCCAGCGCTCCTCGGGCGCGTTGATGACCCCGGGGCCGCCAGAGAGCCCGATCGTGGTGAATGACCCCACCGTCTCGTTCTTTCTGCTCAGTAATGTCTTGAGGTACGAGACCACCTTCTCGTGGGGGGTGTCATTGAGCTCGTGGCGGCCGAGCAGGCGGCTCGAGGTGAGGCTCTAGCGCCTGCGGCGCTGTCGCCAGAGATGGAGCTGAAAAAGCTCGCATAGTTGCTGGGGGATCCTGCGCTAAAGGATATGGAGAGGGTGCTGTTGTCCTTGTTATATTGAGCCTGGAGCTTCTTGACGACTGGCTGGACGAGGGCTTCCACGGCCTCGGCGGAGGTGTTGAACGCCCAGAAGACCTGGCTCAAGGCTGCTCCTGTGAACGGAACTTGTAGGTTTGACGTCAGGACTTCGTAGCGCTCACACCGGTTGCAATGGTGGCCGCAGCAACCAGTCCGGCGTCCATCAGATCAGGAAGCTCGCTGAGGAATGCCCCTGCTGCCTCCCATGACAACTGGTTGCTGCTGTTTGAGTTGACCGCAGGAACCAGCGAAAACGATGCCGTCACAACGTTTGCAGGCGCCGGGAAGTGCTTGATCACGTATTCTGTGACGACGCCGTACTGTCCAGGTCCACCCCCACGGAGCGCCCAGAAGAGGCCCTGGAAATCATTCGCAGTCATAATCTCGCCAGTAGTGGTGACCACGGTCATCTGGAGGACCTGGTTCGATGCCAACCCGTGTGTAGACGCAAGGGGGCCGTGGCCTCCACCCTGTATGTAGCCACCCAGGCCGACACTTGGGTCCTGGCCAGTCGTGACGACTCTGCCCTGCGCCAACGCTGCATTGAGGACATTTCCCCACTGCTGGCCGCTGCCAACGATGAACACATCTTCCGTATTCGATTTGTTTGCAGCACTCCATGCTTGGTTGCGGACGATGGATCGGAACTGATGGGTACAGATAGAGAGTGAGTAAGCTCCAGTGGATCTGCAAGATGAGAAGAGAACAGAAGTCAGTCAAGGTTTGTGCCGAGCAGTAAATCCATATTACATACCGCGCGTTAAGGTCGTGCCCGGTTCCCTTGACCGTGACGCGGATGTTACGCTCGGAAGCCCACCTCAATGCCGTGGCGATGTGCTCCTCGGTTGTGGCATTCACGATATACTGGGCCAGTCCTCCGATGGCACAACCCCGATCGGCAGAGTAGCCCGAAGCCTCGTCCGGAAGGCACGAATTTTTGGCGTACAAGGGATAGTCGACGGATTCTGGCTGCATTGAATGCCAGGTGCCACTGGCCCAGCCGGCCGAAACGTCCTGGCAGTCGAGGGCAGAACCAAACGGATTTCCGGGACAACAGGAGGAGGCTGCTGGCACGGTGCGGAGGAGTCTCCCGTCAATGGAGGCGTTGAGAGATGCCCATTCCGCTGTGGGCGGCCAGCTTGCGTCCGAAGGCGTCGATCGGCACTTTTGTCCGGCCAGGACTGCCGCTGCAGCCGAGCTGGCCAAGAGAAGGGGCAGTAGCTGCATGATTTAACGAGTGGAATTGGGAAGATCAAATGAATGAGATCCAATGAATGAAGATCTGAACCAGAAGTCCGATAAAGACTGAAAGGAAGCTCGTTGCATTCTAGACAAGATGCCATGATGTATTTATCTCTCGTTGAATACGCCCGTCCGGATTATTCGTATAGAGGCGTACACGTATGCCCATCTACACCCAAGGGATACATTATCGTAATCCGCTGTGCTCGATAGAATATAAATATGTGGGCCTGTCTATTTCCTGGAATCTACGATTCAAGCGGCCGAGCCGAGTCGATGATTTTGACTTGAGTGCCCACTTGGCAGTCGAGGTCGACCAATCGCAATGTTTGCGTACACTTAGCCCGCAGCCATATTAAGTGGTGGCCACAATGACAGGGAGCCGCCGAGGTGCATTGCCATTTTCGACGAATCCGGTAGTCCACTAGCCCCCTACTGCTCTGCTGCGCCTGTTCGGCCGACGCAAGTAAGGGATATAAGAACTAGCTATGGAAAGGCGACATCGTAAGATGTCACGCTCTTTCGCACCGTATGGAGAACCCGAAGGCTCTTTGGGAGGACCTTTGAGGCTTCAATGTGAGAGCCAGGTGTGCTCGGCTCTCAGAATGCCTCGTTTGAAGCCCAATGCAGAATGAAGCAGCCGGGTAACCGGTTAAGATTAAGCAAAGTCTGGGTCGGCGGAGAGTGACTGAGTGAGGTTGGTCTCGTCTGTTACCCCTGAACCTGCTCAGACGGATTTCGGCCGGTTCTTCAATGTAAGACCTTCCAGATGCCGAGTTCAACCCACACTATACACTACCTTCGCTTATTCTGAATGGATGTCTGTAAGACTCCTCCACACAAACACGGTAGGATCTAGATCGATATTTCTTTTCGATCTGCTCCAGAATGTGAGGGAGATCCTGCTCCCCTATTCACAGTTGCCAGTATGTATAGGGGACACTGTCAGTAATGACCCACGAACACGCCACCAATAATAGGTTAAAGGGCCTTCAATGTGACTCTGAGTCTGATCAATTGGTGTTCTTAGAGTGTCTGGGGAAATGTAGAAAACTCAAGGCACAAAAGAATTTAACACTATCGTTGATGGATTTGTGATAATGACAGAGAGAAAGTATCTCCTTGCGGAGCAAGCTGATTGTGAGCTAATAATCAACGAGAATGTTTGCTTGGACTTGCACATAAAATAAGCCTGAATCAGAGGAGGCTGAGGAGCCTAGTGGCACAATTTTGAGTGGTTACATGGGCACGCATTGTCATGTTTTGAAAGGCTGGGACGACAACGGCAAGGCCATTCAAATCCATGACTGCAATACTGAGAAACTTTCCGAGCCAGGCCTTTCTCTGAGGAAGAACCTAGACAAGTCCCCAACCTCTCCACCTACCTCGGTACACAAACACCGGCACTGCGGCATGATAACCATGGCGCATGTTTCAATTGTTTCGTCCAGGTGAAACGAGCCTCTAGGAGTAATCCCCCGTGGGCAAATCCATTGAAGTCACATTAGCCAGACGTCTCGAAAATTCGAAGAGGTCGCTATAACACTGACGCCATGGAGCAGGCGGGCTGTTGTGGAAGGCAGAACCATCTGGCAGACATATCCAGGGGTGTTCAGGTCTACGTTTAGATAGACTCATGCACAGATATACGCATTTGTATTTCTCTGTTGTTGCGAACATTCGAGGCAAGGGAAAGCCCAGTTCCACGGGCAGAGGTGGACTTGTTTTGTTGTCACTGACTATGCCTTGGGGGTTAGGGCTTGTCTTTGGTGACCGGAGATGACATCACGCAGACGGAAATATTCATCCAGACAGTAATGATATCTTGAAGGAACAGTTCAGCTATTGACAGACCACTTAACGCCGCTACATCCTCTTTCTTGTCAGTCAACATCGCAGAAATGAAAAGGGTCACAAGAACAGGCGCCGAGCTGCGATTCATATCGCGTGCACACCTACGAGTGCGGCCCTTCCACCATGCCAGTGTTGTGTCATCGTCACCAGAAAAGGGCGGCACCTCACATCAGAGCTTCGTCAACCAAGGTCAGGCCTCTCCGCAAGGGTCAGATGGAAATAAATCAGCACTATCGGAGAAGAAGGTCGAATCATCGAGCGCAGCAAAGAAGAAGACGGTCGCGGAGATGGACGAGGAGTTGAGACTGAAGCTCGAGGGCATGTCCGGCGAGGGCGGTGCGGCAGGCATCGAGTACGAGGGTGGAAAGGCAGAGGGGCTGAAGAGAGGAGTCAAATCAAACATGTTCAGGGTCATCTGAGGATCCAACGGAGGTCAACTCCGGCTCTCTCGGTGCCGAATGACGGTCCTGGGGCAGTGCTCCAAGCACCGAAGAAGACGATCCGCCGAGTCGACAAAGGCAACGATTCTGCCCCAGCCTGGCCCCCGCCCCCAGGCTTAGAATCATGCCCTCACAGCTATAGCCAAGGCTTTACACGACTATGACAAGTCGCATCTTGGGTAGGCTGGTGTCAATATGGTATTGATTCTTTGTATCGCGGAAATAAAGCGGCCGCTGCATTACAGATTCCCGCCGGCTCCTGACGTCTGGGATTTGGCAAGCGACGGGATCATTGGCTTGAAATTGACCGCTCCTGAAATGAAAGCATGGGATTCCTCTCAGCTGCAGACCATCACACCGCAGAGCATGGGGCGTGTCGCGATGCGCAGGGTGTGGGAGGTTACACAGAAATCCCTAAGGATGCCTGAACTGTGGGTCAGTGCCCGCCTGTTGCCTCCAGGGCTGTTGACAATGCCGGGATGGCCTCCGACGACGACCCGCGATTTCAACTCCTGCTCGATGCTGGCCTCTCATTTTCTTCGTTCACAAACAAACGCGGCCAGTTATCCAGCCAAACTTCCTGTGAATATGCAATTATCTTCTACCCTTTCTCTCGCGGCTCTCGCGACAACATCTCTGGCGCAGCAGTGTTATTACCCCAGTGGTAAAGTTGGCACGGCTGACATCCCCTGTTCGACCTCTTCAAACAATACACACTGCTGCGGCAAAACCGGCATATGTCTTAGCAATGGTTACTGTATGGAAACCAGCGAGGAATCTGGGCCTCTAGGATTGTACCGTGGCAGCTGCACAGATCGGAATTGGGGGTCATCCTGCCCACAGCAATGCTTGGGAGGTAAGCTGGTGAAAATTCCCATTGGCTTTCTCGACAAACGATGCTGATTACACGATAATAGACAACGACTTCCCAGCTGACGCGGCACGAGTGGCAAGGTGGCAGAGGAACAGCACGGACTGGCTCTACTGCTGTGTGGGCTCAGAGTATGGGAACGACTATTCTTCGGCTTGTGCTGATGGTGCAGACCCCTTCACGCTTGCCTCTGCCTCGTTGATCTACGGGGTCGCAGCCCTCTCCAGCGCCGAGGTTATTCCTAGTACCGCCAGCTCGACAGCAACATCCGGAGCATCAGCTTCTCCAGCGACAGCAACTCCAGCCGCCGCCAGTGGAACAGCCAGTTCTTCAGGTGACACATGTTCGGACTCCGGAGCCCAAATCGGTGCCATCGGTGCTGGCGTTGGAGCGTCACTTGGGGTTATCTCGATTGGTGCGCTGCTGTGGGCTTTCTGGGAGCGCCGCCAGAGACTCAGGGCGACAGCAGCGCAGATCGTAACCTTCCCCAAGCCAGGCTATGAAGCACCAGACGGCTACCAGTACGCCAACCCATCGACAACAACGACTATTTCGCCCCACATTTACAACACGCCGACATCAGTGGCACATCCACACGAGCTTGGCCCCAACGAACAAAAGGTTGAACTTCCCGGAAGCATCACGACTGTTGGTGACTCCAGAGGTTAAAAGCTGTCACTTGTAATTTTCGAGTACAATCCGTGGATGAGCAGAACATAATTCTTTTCCGGAGCAACGATATCGGCTCCATTATATCCGTCCAGAACCAAGGAAAATCCTTCAGAGGATCGCTCGATGTCTTGCTGTGCATGAAGACCTATGAAAAACCGAAAGAGCCATCCAGAACGCGCCTAATATCCCAAAGAGTTCTATCCGACTTCAACACTCGTCTGTGCTCAGATATCTGGGATGTGGTAGAACCAAGAGGAACCAAGAGACTGGCCGTTCGCAGTCCGTGCAGTCCGCACGAGGCGTCCAGTCTCAACTTACAACAAGGTTTGGGCGAACAAGTTTTACGGACATTGGAGAGTTATACGGGCAGGGAGAACAGCAGTTAGGACGATGAGATACCCTGAATTATCAGCGATTATGAGAGATGGGAAGCCATGCTTGTTCCGTGTTCTTCTGGTTTCCGTCCAGGTCGAATATAAACGGCACGATCATTCTGTATGATGTTGCCAGGGTTGAAATTAGTTTAGTTTAGTTTAGTTAATGGGTCTAACTAAAAACTAAAAACTAAAAAAAAATTAGTTTAGTTAATAGGTTTAACTAAAAACTAAAAACTAAAAAAATTTAGTTTTTAGTTTTTAGTTTTTTAGTTAATTGAGTTTAACTCAAAAATTTTTAAATTAAATAAATAAATAAATAAATAAATAAATAAATAAATAAATAAATAAATAAATAAATAAATAAATAAATAAATAAATAAATAAATAAATAAATAAATAAATAAATAAATAAATAAATAAATAAATAAATAAATAAATAAATAAATAAATAAATAAATAAATAAATAAATAAATAAATAAATAAATAAATAAATAAATAAATAAATAAATAAATAAATAAATAAATAAATAAATAAATAAATAAATAAATAAATAAATAAATAAATAAATATAAATTTATATATATTATTTAATTTATAGTATTATAATATTTACTTTTAATTTTATATTTAATTTATTAATTATAATGATTATTTAATTAATATAAATATCTTTTTTTAAATATATATATTAGATTTCTTTTAAAAAAAACTAACGACCTAAACTCCCGCTATAGCCTAATGATATATAATGTTAATTTATTTCTGAAAAATAAGACGTAATATGCTTAAAATAAATTATTATTAAGGGGTATAATATTTATTACTAGCTTATTATATCTTATATAATAAGGAAATAAACTTCTTTTTTTAAAGATTTTTAAATTTTCTTTTATTTATTATTTTATTTATAAACTATATATTATTTTTATTAAGTTTTATGAAATTCTATATTTTATATAATATAATTTTTTTTTATATAATTATTTTTTTAAAATACTTATGGCTTTTTAAAAATAAAGGTTTTAATATATTTATATTAAATCTATTAAATAGTAATTGCTTATTTAGGACATAACCACCCCCCCTATGCCCCCTACCCTTAGCGTCACCACCTAAATATAATCATTAATATCTCTTTATATAAGAAACTTAAAATTATATAAAAAATACTTTTTAATAGGTTTTATTTATAACTTAATAAATAAAATATTATTTAAAATTATTCGCTCTTTAGAAAAATAAATATAAAAAGATACGTTACTTTCACCTTAAATATAAAAATTAAATACTACTTTATATAATTATATAATAATATTAAAATTTTTCTTAATATAATAATATTATTTTTATATATAGAAAGAAATCTTTAAAAATGTTATATATAATTTTATTATCCTTGTTTATTAAAACCTATTTGCCCCTATAAATGCTTTATTTTAAAACTAAATATAAAGCTTATTAAGGCCTATTTGCCCCTATAAATGCTCTATTTTAAAACTAAATATAGTGTTGGCTGGGTTATGTATTGCAATATGACGTTTGGTTGGTATAGTGGTTAATCATTGTTGATTATAAAAGGAAGGAAGGCAAAAGGCCTAACTATGCTAGCTATTTTGTATACAGCGCCAAGGCTGCTGCTTACTAAGTATTTTAACGGGTTAAAACTACCTAATCCCAAACAGTCCTTTATATAAATAATACCTATTATTCCTATATTAATAGTCTTTATTTTATAAATACATACCTCTTTTAAAAAGTATAAAAGAAAGGAAGGTATTAAGTTAAATTAAACTTAAGGTTAAAAGGCAATTAATTAATTACATATATAAATTAAATTATAAGTATACTATTATTTCGCTACGCTATATTATTATAAAAGATAGGTATATAAGAAGGCTTGGGTTATTATTAAGGAGTTAAAGGTTAATTAGTTTATTAAAATATGCAATTAATAAGAAGAAATTAATTAAGTATGCATATATATTAAAATATCTTAATTATATAAAGTTAAAAAGCTTAAAAGATTGCAATTACTATATAAATATTTTATTTATAATGCATTTTATAAACTTATGCTTTTATTACTTATAGCGCTTAAGTTAAATAAAGATTAAATTAAATCTTTAAATTGTTAATATAATTATTTAATCTTTAAATAACTAAAATTTCCTATTTTGGCTTAGCCTAAGCTTCATTATGCTTAATGCTGCTTATTAAATAAAGAAATTAAGGAGTGTAATTAAAGGATAGGTTGAAATAAAGGTTAATAAATTATAAGGATTAGCAAATAAGGTATTTAAATAAAGGGAAAGTAGGGTATAAAATAAAGAATATTAATTAAGTTAATAAATAGCAATACTTTTAATTTTAATATATAAGTATTAAACCATAAAATCTAATTAAGGATGCCTATTAAATATAAGCTGGCAACTTAAGTACCCATAGGATAATAATAACCCTTATTACCTAAACCCTTAATATATAAGCATTATTATAAAAATCTTAAATATAAGGTTTGCCTTTAAAAAGGATATAATTTAAAGTTAGCTAATTATATTGCATTATAAGGTAATTTATAAATAATTAATGGATATAAACTAAATTTTTGCATTTTTACTATGCATTATCTTTAATTAAAGAAGTTGTTTTATTCCTTATTAAAAATCTTTGGCAGTCTTTTATCTTTGTAATTGCATAATATATATACTTAAGTTAATCGCGCTAATGTTAATATAATAACCCCATAATATATAGTATAATGGTAATATCTAAAGTTATGTTAGCGTAATTTGCTAATAAGTTGTTAAACTATGCTTTAATAATTTAAGTTTAAGCCTTAATGCATTATAGTTTTTTTAACTTTTTTATTACATTTAAATAGTTGCCTTATCTTTTTAGCCGTAATTTACATAGCCTTATACCTTAATTATAATGTTATTTATACTTATAAAGCACTAAAAAGTGTTATTAAGGGTACTCTTTATAAAGGCATTAGCTGGATTGCAATCCCTAATAATTTAATAAATCTTAAAGATTTCACGCTTCTTATATAATTATTAAAAAGCTATAACATTAATTATAAAGCGCTTTTCTTTTATTATATTAAGCTTAATTAAGCATTTATATAAAGAGTATAAGTTAATATATATTATAAAAGGAATTATTGCAATATTTAAATATATAGTAATTTAGCGTAAAGTAGCCGCTAATATTATAGCTATATTAAAGCTATTAATTATACTATAAATCTTTAAAGCTAAAACGCTTTAAGTTACTCTTTAACACTTTATTAAGGATTAATAAATAATATTGCCTTTAATATTTTACTTAAAAGCTTATTAAGTTTATATTTTATTTATAAGTATAATAATAAAGCTAATTTATAAGCTAAAGTTCTTATTATTAATAAATAAGCTATTAATAAAGATTATTAATTTAGCTTAAAATAGATTTAAGGGCATATATTAAAGTCCTTGCTTTAAGTTATTAGCTTATTATTATAGCTAATGATTTAGCTTATTATAATCCTTATGGGAAAGCTCTTAAATTTAAGCTGTTATTAATAAGTTAAATACTGCCTTAAGTTAATAAATAAAAGTAAAATATACTCCTTATATATATTATTTTATATATTATTAAGCATAATTATTAGCTTTATTATTAATAGGCATAATCTTTTTACCTTAGCCTTTTTAATAAAAATATAAAGTATCTTTATTAAAAATGCTTATAATTATGCTATTAAAGATAAGTAACTTATTAAGGATAAGTATCTTTTTTAACTTGCATTAAATATTTACCTTTTTAATCTTTTATTTTTTTAGCTTTAAAAATATTAAAGTATTAAGAGATAAAGTATTATTAATTTATATAATAGTAATAATAAAAATATTCTTTCCTTGGTTTATAATTAAAAGGCATGGGTTATATATTAAAATAACTATACCTAAATTATTATAATAAAACTTATAATAGGTTGCTTATTAATATATATTAAATTTAGCAATATTATAAAGCAATTTAATAATTTATATAATAATCTTAAAAGAGTATTTATTTTAAATCTTAAAGAGTAAGTAATATAAAATAGGTTGCTTAAGCTTAAACTTTAATTAAGGATATGCTTAAGTAATATTTTAAAGCTTTAATTAAAAGCCTTATATTAAAAGAAATAGGGCTAAAGTAATTAAAAGCCTTTAATTAGCTTTTTAAATAATTAAAGATTATATAAGGATATTATACTTATCCTTATTATTATATTTAGCGATAATAAGCCATAATTTCTTATATAGCTTTTTAATTTTGCCTTTAATTTTATAAATAATGTATAACTTAAAGAGCTAAATATCTTTATGCATTTTAAGATTAAAGCGTTTAAAGTAAAAGATATTATTATTAATTAACTTTATAATTTTCTTATAATTAAACTTCTTAAATAAATTACTTAAGGTGTTAATTATATTATTATATTAAAGCTTTAAAAAGAAATTATAATTCTTAACCTTTCGCTAAATAAAATATGTTTTTTTTAGCTTATTCTTTAATTCCTTAGGCCGTTTATATTATTAAGGTTATAGTAATTTTAATATTGCTAGAACTAAATTTAGTTTAAATTAAA